GCTGCTACCCCCTAGTAGCCAAAATTAGTCAAAAAACAAACGTCGCTGAAAAGCTTTGAATAGTGGGAAAGACCCAATGATGAACTCTCCCCACCCCCGGTCCGTGAAAAAATTGGTCATCCACGAAACCGGTCCCTGGTACCAAAAAGGTCGTGGATCGCCGATCTAGATTGCAAACTCATTTCTTTAGAGCTGCTTTTTGCGAGTTCAGTTTGATGTCCTTCCACCGCATACCTCCGATTAGCGCCGTGCGTAGCCAACCGTGCGAATCGGGGAAGGACCACAGACTTAAACAATGCGTGGACGTAGTACATTGAACTTCTTTCGCACCGTACGTAACCAACCACAGCAAGGATACCCGAATAAATATTGAGCAGAGAGACGTTTGAAATTCATTCCGGAACGAGTTTATTTTCGTTTTTTCTCCAAATGCACGACACTTAAATTTGTAAAACATACCTGTAGTGCTCAGAGGGTCCCCATTACATTGCCTCAAAATAAATAAAATATATTCCCGGCAAATAAAACATCGCCGTGCCGTACCCTGGGGCCCTCCTGGGTTTCTCAGCCGGTTCAGCGAAATCAACTTTGCTCGGCTACGGGATACCAACTCGATACGAGAAGTTTGGATTTGCGTTCCTTTAGCGATCTGAACGGCTTCCTTCCGGGGTTTTTCCTCCCCCTGTTCGCGCCGCCGCCACATATCACAAACGACGTCGCGCATTACGGCAGAGGTGGCAACCGGGTACCCGATACCCGTACCCTACCCGATACCCGGCTACCCATACCCGGGTACCCGTTTGCGACCCTGGTGCGGCCGAGTACGGGTACGGGTAGGCCGTGAGTCACTGGTGAGTCACCGTTTGTCACTCATTTCCCAACGTCTTGTCTCTTCTCACAATTCAAGTTCCTAGAATCAACCCACCCGCGCCTGCAACATGGCTTCATCCCAGAGGTCGCAATCGGGTACCCGATACCCGTACCCTACCCGTACCTGGCCGGGTACGGGTAGGGTACGGGTACGGCCGGGTACGGGTACCCGTTTGCGACCCTGGTGCGACCGGGTACGGGTAAGGAATCAAAACCCGTTTGCGACATCTGATTCACGGACCACTTCGCTGCTGCTGCTGCCGCTGCTGCGCCGATGCCGCCGCCCAGAGGTCGCAAACGAGTTTTGATTCCTTACCCGTACCCGGCCGCACCAGGGTCGCAAATGGGTACCCGTACCCGGCCGGGTACGGGTACCCGTTCCCTCCCCGTACCCGTACCCTACCCGAAATGAGTGACAAATGGTTACTCACCAGTGACTCACGGCCTACCCGTACCCGTACCCAGCCGCACCAGGGTCGCAAACGGGTACCCGGCTACCCGTACCCGGCCGGGTACGGGTAGCCGGGTATCGGGTAGGGTATGGGTATCGGGTTCCCGGTTGCGGCCACTGCGCCGTCGCCGCCGCCGCCGCTAGAACATTTCCCACGCAGCGGTGGCGACAAGCCGCTTCTCTTGTGATGATGGCCAGAGTCGCTTCTTAAAAAAATAAAAAAGCAGCTACATTGGCGGCTCAGTTCGGGCCTTACCTGGGAAGGTCAAATAAAAACAAATGTGAATAGGAATTTTGCGGTGAGCTGCTTAGGGGTGGGGGGTGGGGGCAGTAACGGCGTATCTCCCTCTCACTGCGAGCTATCGTACGCTATAACGGATCAAAGAAAATTGATTACCAGAGGAGGCGCAGTAACGGCGTCTGACCCTCCCGCCGCTGCGAGCTGTCGAATGCTATAACGAATCAAACAAAACCGGCTCCTGGGGGAGGCGCAGTAACAGCATCTGACCCTCCCGCCGCTGCGAGCTGTCGAATGCTATAACGAATCAAACAAAACCGGCTCCTGGGGGAGGCGTGCTAACAGCATCTGCCCCTCTCCCGCTGCGAGCTGTCGAATGCTATAACGAATCAAACAAAACCGGCTCCTGGGGTAGGCGTGGTAACAACATCTGCCCCTCTCCCGCTGCGAGCTGTCGAATGCTATAACGAATCAAACAAAACCGGCTCCTGGGGTAGGCGTGGTAACAGCATCTGCCCCTCTCCCGCTGTGAGCCGTCGAATGCTATAACGAATCAAACAAAACCGGCTCCTGGGGTAGGCGTGGTAACAGCGTCTGCCCCTCTCCCGCTGTGAGCCAGCGAACGTTATAACGAATCAACGGAAACGTAGAATTTGTGTTTTCGCCGAACGCGATAACGAATCGGAGGCGTATCGGCGCACACCCGTAGTGAACAACGAAGTTCGATATTCTCCAGCGGTTGAACCCGGGCCCCGTCGACGGCAACTCCACATTCCCATGGCGGAGCTCAGTCTTCTCCACGAGACGCCCAGTGTTCAACTTCCCAGAGCGGGGGCAATATTCTTTTTTAATCGAACGATGGAGCAGTGACGATGATCCTCTGTGTGCCTATGTTTGTTCTCTCTCTCTATGTATCTCTGTGATATCTGTCCCTGCTTATGTGTCTGTCTATGTGTCTCTGGTTCTGTGTTTTATCTCTCTCTCTCAAATTTTGCATTCTCAGGAAGAACGTAATCAACCAGGTAGGGTGTTGACTGTTATGTTATCCGACTCTCTGTTGTAGTAGTGTATAGTGTAGTGTAGTAGTATATAGTGTAGGGTATAGTGTAGTGTATAGTAGTGTATAGGTAGGATGTTGACTTATGTTATCCGACTCTCTGTTGTATTACATTACATTTCTAAGTATACTAGATTTGTGTTTCTATTTCATTTATACCTGATGATGATTGCTTGTGTTGCAATCGAAACGTCGTATGCCAGTATTTAATTTATTACTTTCTCTTTACACGTCACTTTACCGAAAGAACCAAAGAGTAGTGACGATGATGATGACGATGACGACGATGATGATGACGATGACTACGATGACGATTTATGTTACGGATGGGATCGCAACCCACTTTGGCTGTACTGCCACCCCAGTGCAGCAAGGGGAGCGCCTAGGTGAGGGGTTCCAGGCACTTGAGGGGCGAGGACAGGTAAGGTAGACGAGGGCAGGTGAGTGGTGAGGACAGGTGAGTGGTGAGGGCAGGTGAGTGGTGAGGACAGGTGAGTGGTGAGGACAGGTGAGTGGTGAGGACAGGTGAGTGGTGAGGACAGGTAAGGCAGGCGAGGGCAGGTGAGTGGTGAGGACAGGTAAGGCAGGTGAGGGCAGGTGAGTGGTGAGGACAGGTAAGGTAGACGAGGGCAGGTGAGTGGTGAGGACAGGTAAGGCAGGCGAGGGCAGGTGAGTGGTGAGGACAGGTAAGGTAGACGAGGGCAGGTGAGTGGTGAGGACAGGTAAGGCAGGCGAGGGCAGGTGAGTGGTGAGGACAGGTAAGGCAGGTGAGGGCAGGTGAGTGGTGAGGACAGGTAAGGCAGACGAGGGCAGGTGAGTGGTGAGGACAGGTGAGGCAGGCGAGGGCAGGTGAGTGGTGAGGATAGGTAAGGCAGGCGGGGGCAGGTGAGTGGTGAGGACAGGTGAGGCAGGCGAGGGCAGGTGAGTGGTGAGGACAGGTAAGGTAGACGAGGGCAGGTGAGTGGTGAGGACAGGTAAGGCAGGCGAGGGCAGGTGAGTGGTGAGGACAGGTAAGGCAGGCGGGGGCAGGTGAGTGGTGAGGACAGGTAAGGTAGACGAGGGCAGGTGAGTGGTGAGGACAGGTAAGGCAGGCGGGGGCAGGTGAGTGGTGAGGACAGGTGAGGTAGGCGGGGGCAGGTGAGTGGTGAGGACAGGTGAGGTAGGTGAGGGCAGGTGAGTGGTGAGGACAGGTAAGGCAGGCGGGGGCAGGTGAGTGGTGAGGACAGGTAAGGCAGGCGAGGGCAGGTGAGTGGTGAGGACAGGTAAGGCAGGCGGGGGCAGGTGAGTGGTGAGGACAGGTAAGGCAGGCGGGGGCAGGTGAGTGGTGAGGACAGGTAAGGCAGGCGAGGGCAGGTGAGTGGTGAAGACAGGTAAGGCAGGCGGGGGCAGGTGAGTGGTGAGGACAGGTAAGGCAGGCGGGGGCAGGTGAGTGGTGAGGACAGGTAAGGCAGGCGAGGGCAGGTGAGTGGTGAGGACAGGTAAGGCAGGCGGGGCAGGTGAGTGGTGAGGATAGGTAAGGCAGGCGGGGGCAGGTGAGTGGTGAGGACAGGTAAGGCAGGCGAGGGCAGGTGAGTGGTGAGGATAGGTAAGGCAGGCGAGGGCAGGTGAGTGGTGAGGACAGGTAAGGCAGGCGGGGGCAGGTGAGTGGTGAGGACAGGTGAGGCAGGCGAGGGCAGGTGAGTGGTGAGGACAGGTAAGGTAGACGAGGGCAGGTGAGTGGTGAGGACAGGTAAGGCAGGCGAGGGCAGGTGAGTGGTGAGGACAGGTAAGGCAGGCGAGGGCAGGTGAGTGGTGAGGACAGGTAAGGCAGGCGAGGGCAGGTGAGTGGTGAGGACAGGTAAGGTAGACGAGGGCAGGTGAGTGGTGAGGACAGGTAAGGCAGGCGAGGGCAGGTGAGTGGTGAGGGTCAGAGGGGTTCAGGCAGGTGAGTGGTGGCGAGGGTCAGAGTGGTTCAGGCAGGTGAGTGGTGGTGAGGGTCAGAGTGGTTCAGGCAGGTGAGTGGTGAGGGTCAGATGGGTTCAGGCAGGTGAGTGGTGAGGGTCAGAGTGGTTCAGGCAGGTGAGTGGTGGTGAGGGTCAGAGGGGTTCAGGCAGGTGAGTGGTGGTGAGGGTCAGATGGGTTCAGGCAGGTGAGTGGTGAGGGTCAGAGTGGTTCAGGCAGGTGAGTGGTGAGGGCAGGTGAGTGGTGAGGGCAGGTGATAACAGCGCCAGACGGGTTGCCCCACCGGGCCGCCGTAGCATTGACTCGAACACACGGAGAGGGCGGGGGTCGAAGGTCACGGTGGAGAGGGCAGGGGTCGGGAGAGGGCAGGGGTTGGGGGTCACGGTGGAGAGGGTGGGGGTTGGGAGAGGGCGGGGGTCGGGAAAGGGCGGGGGTTGGGAGAGGGCGGGGGTCGGGAGAGGGCGGGGGTCGAGGGTCACGGCGGAGAGGGCGGGGGTCGGGAGAGGGCGGGGATCGGGAGAGGGTGGGGGTCGGGAGAGGGCGGGGGTCGGGGGTCACAGTTCGCTGTGGGGCTGCGCGGGGGTGGCGGCTCGGTGCGTCCCGTCGAGTTGCTCCGCCTCCCGCTGGACGAAGGCATCCCAGCTCGCGTGGAATCGCCGCGTCGCCTCGGCCTTGGCGCCCGTCGCCATGGCGCTGTACCTGCGACAGAGCGTTGCCACGGGAGGGAGGGTTTCACGTCACCGCCTCCCTGCCACTTGTTGCCAACCGGGGGGGGGGGGGGGGGGTGGGAGGGGGTCGGACGTCGAAAGCCCGTGGCTGGAGTCGGTGTGGGTAGGCGATGCAGAAAAAAAAGAAAATTTGCGCAGCAGAAACTTGATTCACGACGACGCGAACAGGGCCGGTCCGGTTCCCGACGTGACTCTGGAGCGGAACTTTTAGTTTTAATTCTCCAGCGTTTGTGTGGATTTATCACCGATAAAACCACCGCCCCCCCCCCCCATTAAATACGGCCGATTAGAAGGAGGAGGGGGTTGGGGGATAAACCACGCACACCGGGGGATAAGGGATGTCCCAACCGTTTCCACCGTCTACGGGGAAAATCGAGGAGTCCAGGAGCGAACCGGATGCATGTGCGGCGGCGGTGGCAGCGCGCAAAAAAAACTTCGACGGAAATCGACTTCCGCTCGCCGTTCCCCATCGGCAACGGCCCGGCCCCGCGTCCTCTCACCGCACGGAGTTGAGCGCCAGCTGCTTGAGCGTGGCGAGGTCGGCGCCCAGTCCGCCCGCCACGCCCATGACGGCGCTGTAGAGGTCGTAGGAGAGGCCGCGCGAGCCGAACGCCGCGGGGTCGTCGGACGACACGACGAGGGGGTGTCCGCGCGAGAAGAGCACGCTCGCCGGGTGCGAGCGCAGGTCGGCCACCAGGCCCAGCACCTGGAGGTCGTCGTCGTCGTCCACGAGAGGGTTGGAGGGGTGGGGTAGTGGGTGGAGGGTGTGGGTGGTGTGGGTGGAGGGGGTGGGTGGTGGGGTGGAGGGGGTGGTGTGGGTGGAGGGTGTGGGTGGGGGGTGTGGGTGGAGGGTGTGGGTGGAGAGTGTGGACGTGGGTTGTGATGACGGAGGGGGTGGGAAGAGGACGTGGAAGGGGGGCGACGTCAATTACGATGGTGGAACACATCGTTGAGACTTGTGAAGGTAAATTATCTCGCGCCAAGAACTACCACTGCCAACCACGTACCCACCTACCGCAGCCCAACCTGCGACCACAAAGACAATTCAACAATTGCTCAAGCTCCACGCTCCTCTATATGTTGAGCTGCTCTCGGCCAAATCAGCGGGCGGTTGATCCCAACAACCGCTAGCTCGCGTGTGCCCACCGCCAGCGTGTGCCTTGCCAGAGTGTGCCCACCGCTAGCGTCTGCCCACCAGCGTGTGCCTTGCCAGAGTGTGCCTACCGCTATCACGTGCCCACCGCCAGCGTCTGCCCGCCAGACTATGCCCGTCATGCGTGTGCCCACCGCCAGCGTGTGCCCGCCAGAGTATGCCCGTCATGCGTGTGCTAGCCACTAGCGTGTGCCTTGCCAGAGTATGCCCACCGCTAGCGTCTGCCCACCAGCGTGTGCCTTGCCAGAGTGTGCCTACCGCTATCACGTGCCCACCGCCAGCGTCTGCCCGCCAGACTATGCCCGTCATGCGTGTGCCCACCGCCAGCGTGTGCCCGCCAGAGTATGTCCGCCAGCGTGTGCTAGCCACTAGCGTGTGCCCACCGCCAGCGTGTGCCCGCCAGAGTATGCCCGTCATGCGTGTGCCCACCGCCAGCGTGTGCCCGCCAGAGTATGTCCGCCAGCGTGTGCGCGCCAGCGTGTGCCCACTGCTATCACGTGCCCACTGCTAGCGTCTGCCCGCCAGCGTGTGTCCGCCAGCGTGTGTCCGCCAGCGTGTGCCCACCGCCAGCTTGTGCCCACCGCCAGCGTGTGCCCGCACCTGGTTGGAGATGGGGCATAGCTCGACGGGTACGTCCCGCGAGCGGGCAAGGCGCAGGGCGAGCGGGTGGCGCACCAGCGCCAGGCCGTGCCCGATGCGCGTCGTGTTGAAGAGCAGCGCGTCCAGCACGTTCACGTCCACGCCGGCGCCCTCCCAGCCTCCCCCACGGCAACGTGGCGAGGTGGGTGGGTGGGTGGGGTGGGTGGGGTGGGGTGGGTCATGGAGTGAGGGTAGGTGAGGGGAGAAGAGACAGGAAACATAAATCACCAGGACGTGCATCACCACTGCTACTACTACCTAAACACAACCATCACTACTACAACCTAAACCACCACCACCACCACCATTACTACAACCACCTAAACCACAACCACCACCACTACAACCACCTAAACCACAACCACCACTACTACTACCACCTAAACCACAACCACTACTACAACCACCTAAACCACAACCACCACCACTACAACCACCACCACTACTACCACCTAAACCACAACCACCACTACTACCACCTAAACCACAACCACTACTACAACCACCTAAACCACAACGACCACCACTACAACCACCACCACTACTACCACCTAAACCACCACCACCACTACTACCACCTAAACCACCACCACCACTACTACCACCTAAACCACCACCACCACTACTACCACCTAAACCACCACCACCACTACTACCACCTAAACCACCACCACCACTACTACCACCTAAACCACCACCACCACTACTACCACCTAAACCACAACCACCACTACCACCACCTAAACCACAACTACTACCTGCACCACCAACACTACTGCTACCTAACCACTACCACCACCACCACCAACACTACTGCTACCTAGTCCACCACCACCATACTACCTAACCACCACCACCTACACCACGTCCACCACCACCACCACCACCTACACCACCTCCACCACCACCACTACTACCACCTAAACCACCACCACTACTACCACCTAAACCACCACTACTACCTGCACCACCAACACTACTGCTACCTAGTCCACCACCACCATACTACCTAACCACCACCACCTCCACCTCCACCACCGCGTCCCCTCACTTGTCTCGCCGGCGTGCAGGAAGTAGGGGAGGTTGATCCCGGACTTGGCCGGCCTCTCCAGCTCGTCGCGAAGACTCCACAGGTCGCTCCCCGAGTCCTCCTGCCCCACCTGAGACCCAGGCGACACCTTCGTCAATCACCGAGGCCAGCGACCCACTTTGGCTGCTCAGCTCACAAAGTGACTTTGACATCTTACCGCGAAAAATAAAAAAATATACTAAAATGTAGTATCGCCAACATCGCGGACGCATCGACGCGTGGAAGGTTTGGCACCGGATCGAGCGGGGGACACACGGGGTAGACACACGGGGTAGACGCACGGAGAGACACGGGGGGGACACGAGAGACAGACATAATGGGGGAGACGCACGGGGGGGACACACACGGGACAACAACAACCGCCATTCACCACTAAGTGATGGTGACATCACCACGGCGCTTGTGCCAGGCTAGGTGCACGTTGAGGCCACGTGAAGTGTCGAACGCCCGCTGGCAGGAGGTCACAGGACGGACCTAGGTGCCACGGGTCGACTGACTGAGATGACCGAGATGACTGGCCGATGCACCACCTGTGCCCCCTACTGTGCCAACTTGCTGTGCTTTATCTGCCCAGCGCTCCGCTCGTTGTTGTGAGCGTCGCTCCTCTGCCCTCCGTTTTTTCTGGAGGGCGACTGCCTCCAACTGCCCAGTAGCGTCCTTCACGAGCCTCCTCCACAGAGGCCAACCTTGACACCGCTGGTACCGTTCATCGGCAAGTCCACTCAGCTCCACATCCTCCTGTACCACGTCACTCCATCTCTTCTCCAGCCCATGCCGTGCCAGTTTTAGCCTCCTCTATCCGGCCGAACAAAATCTGTTTAGGCATGCGGTGGCTGGGCATGCGGGCTACATGACCACGGGAGGAGACACACGGGAGGAGACACACGGGCGCGGCGTTCCGGGCTACCAGATCGAAGCCCACGAGGAAGTCGGGGTAAGCCTTGCGCAGTAGCACAGGTCTGCTCGATGGCCATCCTGATAGCGGAGCTGTTCTGTTTCCTGAGAGACCAGAGACACAGAGAGAGAGAGACAGGAGAGACAGGAGAGACAGAGAGAGTGAGACAGAGAGAGACAGAGAGACAGAGAGAGAGACAGAGAGAGTGAGACAGAGAGAGACAGACAGAGAGAGATGACAGCGAGCTGACCGGATGTGCCTGGGACGGCTCAGTGGTGGGTCAGGTGAGATGGTCTCAACTGCGATTTAATTTTACCTGTGCTGACGTCTCACCTGCTGATGGTGTATCACCTGTGATGGGTCAGGTGAGATGGTCTCCACCGTGATGTCTCACCTGTGACGATATCTCACCTGTGATTGGTCAGGTGAGATGGCTATCTCACCTGTGACAGGTCAGGTGAGATGGTCTCAACCGTGATGTCTCACCTGTGACGATGTCCCGCCCGTGACGGCGTCTCACCGGCCGACAGTATCTCACACCTGTGCCGGAGTCATGTGACCTGGCCTCACCTGCGTACGATCGTCTCACCTGTTGATGGAGCTGATGATCTTGACCCCGAGGAAGCCCGGATTCTGGTGAGAGAACTCGCGAGACACATCTTGGTACGCGCGCACCACCCACTCGGGTCCGTGCAGGCGCCCGTCCAGGTCGTACACCTGCAACGGGAACACGCGGGGAGACGCGATGACACTGCGGTGGACGCACTGCGACCCGTCAGGAGACACGCAGAGACAACACGGAGACAACACGGAGACACGTATGAAACATGCGGAAATGGGAAGACCTCTTCGCAGTTGCGGCAAAGTCGCCTGGTAAATGCTGTGCGTTCACTCTCCACGTGACAAAACCTTCATAATTGGCTGTGCCGGTTGGTGGTGGGCTAACGACACAACGTTCATATTTACGCTATCTAACCCAAAAAAAAAAACTTTATTATGGAGGATAACAGGAGGTGAGGCCCAGACAAGGCCTGGTCGAGGCCTTTCAAGGGCTAGCAAAACCTAGGCAAGGCATAGCGAGGCAGAACAAGGGTCCTTGCGAGACCTGGGTGGGGCCTGGGCAAGGCCTGAAGGGCCTGATGAGGCTTGGCCAAGGTCTAGTTAGGCCTAGCGAGGCCTAGCGAGAAGCCTAGAGAAGCCTGGGCGAGGCCTAGTGAGACACAGCGAGGCCTAGATGAGGTCTAGCGAGGCTTAGAGAAGCCTGGGAGAGTCCTAGCGACGCTGGGCCGAGGCCTAGTGGCAAAGAGAGCCCGAGTAGAGCCTAGCGAGGCCCAGGTAAAGTTTTAACGAGGCGCAGACAAAGTTTTAGCGAGTCCCGTGCCGCTCACGTTGGGTAGCAGCGTCCTCAGCTCGATGTAGGAGACTCCGTCTTCGTAGAATTCCTGCAGCTAAGGCCCACGAACAGCAATAACTGCTGAGGCTTGGCCAAGGTCTAGTTAGGCCTAGCGAGGCCTAGCAAGAAGCCTAGAGAAGCCTGGGATTGGCCTAGCGAGACACAGCGAGGCCTAGATGAGGTCTAGCGAGGCTTAGAGAAGCCTGGGAGAGTCCTAGCGACGCTGGGCCGAGGCCTAGTGGCAAAGAGAGACCTAGTAGAGCCTAGCGAGGCCCAGGCAAAGTTTTAGCGAGTCCGGTGCCGCTCACATTGGGCAGCAGCGTCCTCAGCTCGATGTAGGAGACTCCGTCTTCGTAGAATTCCTGCAGAGCTCGAGCGAAGTAGTCTCGGAAGACGGGGGCGTGCAGCACGAGGCCGCAGGCGCCGCTCAGGACGTCCTCGAAGCGGCGCCACGCCGCGTTCTGGTTCGGGTAAGCGGCGGCGGGGTCCTCCGTCACCATCGTGAGGCCCCGCATCAGCCTGAGAGACGCACGCCGGGAGAAGCGTTCGGCCGCAAGCGACGTCGGCCCGGCTTTAACGGCGTCAACAAGCGTCGGCGCGCCCCCCCCCCGCCCGACCGACCGACGTTGGATTTTACCGAACTTTACTTCGCGTCTGCCCCCGGGCAGGGCGGCTCACCTCGAGTCTAAGTCCTCCACGAGGGGCGTCCGGCGTCGCAGGTCCGCGAGCAGCTCCCATCCGTCGGGGGCCGAGCGGCACGAGTCGGGACTGGGGGCTCCCCGCACCGAGAATTTGAACCGCGGCTGAGGCCGGCTCCGGCCGGAGGCACACGTAGCAGTGCGGCCGGTAGGTGACGTTCCTCACCAGCCACTCCACGCTCGCCAGCGCCACGTCGTGCAGGTGCAGCGCCGCTCCTGGTGGGTCGTGGGGTCGCGGGGTCAGGTTCGGGTTCGAGGGCAGGGCGTTACGGTGGCAGGTCTGCGAGCATTCCAAAAGAAAATAACTACGAACTGTTTTTTGTTATTTTTAAATCCTTTATATTAAGTTCGCTTGCTTGCTTGCTTGTGTGGTTGCGTGCTTGCTTACGACCGTGCAAATATTTCGGTCGTTTTTTAACCCACTTCCCGTGATCCAATCGAGCTGACATTTTGCACACAGACTCGTTGTGCGTGACAATTAATGTTCGTGAATTTTTTTTCTCCAAAATTTTACACTTTTTAGGACAAAAATATTATATTTAATTACCAATTGCTTAATGGTGGCAGGCAATCATCTGACCGATAGGTGGCAGCCATCTCAAGCCAGAGGACGAGAGGACTCTAGCCGCCACGCATATAAAGGATTTAGAGTGAAAAACTTTGTTTTTACGGGTTATACTTGTTACCAGGTAAGCTGTGTACCTCTTTTTTCCCCGAAGCGACCTGGCCACAAATGATAGCTCAAGGATGTGGCTTATCAACGTGTGGAGATTTATAGCAGCCAAATACTCTCTAAACGCTTGTTGATTCTAAATGTGGAGGGAGAAACTGGTACTCGTTTGAGGCTCAGTCGACCTCGGGGAGGCCCAAAACCAGTCTGAATAATCGTCAACTGGTTTTGGCTGCGAGCGGGAATCGAACTCGGGTAGCCGGGTTCGTAGCTCAGTGCGCCAACACCACTGCCACTACAGCTCCACACTATCACCAATGCCACGACTACCATCCCCACCACCATCCCCACCACCATAGCCACCACAATAGCCACCACGACCATCACAACTGCCAAAACACCACCACCATCATCACGGCCCCCACGACCGCCACTACCGCCACCACCCCCATCGCCGTCACTACGACCACCACTACCCACCACCACCACCACATCCGCCACCACTATCCACCACCACTATCCACCACCACCATCGCCACCACAACGACCACCACTACCCACCACCACATCTGCTACCACCATCAAACCACCAGCACCACCACATCGGCCACCACTACACCACCACCTCCACCACTACCATCGCCGCCACTACCCACCACCACTACCCATCACCACCACCACATCTGCCACCACCACCATCGCTGCCACTGCGACCACGACTACCCACTACCACCACCACTACCGCCACCACCCCCATCATAGTCACGACAACCACCACTACCCACCACCACCACCACCACTAACATCGCCACCACTACGACCACCACCACTACCATCGCCGCCACTACGACCACCACTACCCACTACCACCATCGCCGCCACTACCCACCACCACCACCACTATCGCCACCACCACCATCGCCGCCACTATGACCACCACTACCCACCTACCACCACCATTATCGCCACCACTACCATCGCCGCCACAACGAACACTACTACCCACCACCACCGCATCCGCCACCACCACTACGACCACAACTACCCACCACCACCACCATCACCACCACCACCAAACCACATCTACCTCCACCACCAAACCACCAGCACCACCACATCGGCAACCACTACCGCCGCCCCGCTCGCCATCGCGCACCTTTGGGCATCCTCCTGATGAACTGGAACACGGCGCTGCGCTCAATCAGGGGCTTGGCCTTGAAGAAGTGAATGGCCGGTGGGTAGACGCCCGTCCTGACCGCCGTCTCCACCTCGTCCAGAATGGCCCTCGCCAGACTTGCGTTCACCTGCTCGCACGGCCGGGCGGCCGGGGGCCACGGCGCCACCAGTCATCGTCACCACCACCGTCACGACTACGTCTAAACTATTTTGCATTTACACCATTGGAACCTCATTTGCCAGTAGCAAATATGATGATTGGTTTTAGAAGCGGCATGGCTATCACAAACGAGAGGCTTATCATCATCATCATCGTCGTGTGGAGATTTCTAGCAGCAGCCAAATGCTCTGAGCGCGCGACGTTGAAAACCCAGAGGGCCCCGGAGAAAAATCCACGCGACCACGGGGAGAGAGTGGGACGCGCAGACTCCAAATATACAGCAGGATCGAGCCCACGACCTCCTGTATACCAGGCGAGGTAGTGGTAGTGGTGGCGGTGGTTGTGGTGGTGGTGGTGATGGCGGTGGTAGTGGTGGTGGTGATGGCGGTGGTGGTGGTGGTGATGGCGGTGGTAGTGATGGTGGTGCCGGTGGTTGTGGTGGTGATGGCGGTGGTAGTGGTGGTGGTGATGGCGGTGGTGGTGGTGGTGGTGATGGCGGTGGTGGCGGCGGCGATGCCGGTGGTGGCGGTGGTGATGGCGGTGGTGGCGGTGGTGATGGGGGTGGTGGTGATGGTGGTGGTGGTGGTGATGGCGGTGGCGGCGGCAGTGATGGCGATGGCAGTGGTTGTGGCGGTAGTGGTGATGGTGGCGGTGGTGATGGCGGTGGTTTTCGCGGTGATGGCGGTGGCGGCGGTGATGGTGATGGCGGTGGCATCAACGTCTATCAGCTGCGAGGACATCGCGACCGCGACCGCTTCTCACCTGGACTTCCAGCGGGGACAGGACCAGCGCCCCGCCCACGCGACCGGCTCGCTCCTCGCTCAGGAGTTCCTCGCGTCTCTCCACAGGCACGGCCGTGGCCACGCGCGGCAGCGGCAGCAGCACCACGGCCAGCACCGTCGCGCACACCAAGGCCCACATGACGCCGCCGCCGCCGCGAGAGGCTGGGGAAGTGCAGAGGGGGGGGGGGGGGGCGATGACGCACAGAACAGAGGTCGCAACCAGGTACCCGATACCCGTACCCTACCCGATACCCAGCTACCCGTACCCGACCGGGTACGGGTACGGGTAGGCCGTGAGTCACTGGTGAGTAACCGTTTGTCACTCATTTCCCAACGTCTTGTCTCTTCTCACAATTCAAGTTCCTAGAATCAACCCACCCACGCCTGCAACATGGCTTCATCCCAGAGGTCGCAATCAGGTACCCGATACCCGTACGGGTACGGCCGGGTACGGGTAGCCGTTTGCGACCCTGGTGCGGCCGGGTACGGGTAGGCCGTGAGACCTGACGTCACCAATGCAGACTGTTGCTGTTGGTCCCAAATGAGCGGCGAGCGGTGGTGCAGCGGCTAGCGATGCTGGCCACGAACTCGGTCACTTCTGGGTTCGATTCCCGCCTGTGACAAATAAAAGAGTTGGCGAGTATTTAAACCGGTCCTGGGCCTCCCCTAAGTCGACTCGGCCTCAAATGAGTACCTGGTGTGGCGTGTAAACATCGCCCACTGGGGAGACAAAGGCGGCCGGGCGTGGTGCTGGCCACCCACCCCCTCGTGCGCCGTTCCGGCCTTCATAGGTGCCGCTCGCTAACAGCACTTGCCCCAACAGTCTATTGAGGCTACACAGGGGACCTTTGTCTTTGCCTGGTGAATGCTGTTGACACGTGAAGTCTTTGTTGCTGTTGCTGCTCACGAATCAGCACGGATCTAGCGTGGTAAAAAATAAAGCGGGGGAAAACTGGCTCAACGGGACCATCCGTGTAACAAGAAAGTTAACAATAACATCGTGGCTTTAAAAGGAAATGTATATTTATTATATATACGTGCGACGTTTTGGCTAACAGCCGTTCAAATAAATGCGAATAATCAAGAACCAAGACTGATGTTGTTATTGTTTTTAAAATCTTCACACCTCCTATTTAATTGTCAGAAAGGGGTATAAAACCTATCGTTGTTTTTTTTATCCTTTGATACCAGCAAAACATGTCGCACGCGGGTGCCCGTTTGAGGCCGAGTCGACCTAGAGGGGAGGGCCGGTCAACGTTTCAGATAATCGACATCGGTGATTGGTGGCCGTGAGCGGGAATCGAACTCGGGTCGCCGGGTTCGCAGCGCAGCGTAGCGCTAACCGCTACTACACTACCACTGACCCGCCAACACGTTTTTCCTTTGCTGAATTCATTGCTGGTTTCACATCCATTGGGTCTACAAAAAATATTACGTTTTTTGAGAATTAAATGGGGGGGGGGGGGGGGGGGGTCACAAGACATCTGGACCAGCCCGTACACTAAAAACTAAACGAAGTTTTGTTCATGTCAACCGGGTGCAAGGGTCCCACACTGAGCGATACACAAACGATAGCTCAACGCAAGTGGAATCGTCGATCATCACGTGGCAATTGTAGAGCAGCAGCCAAATAAATACGCGTGATGTTCATTCTATAAGTGTGGAGGGGGCAAGCCGGAGAACTCTGAAAAAGAAAAAAAATCCACGCGACCACAGGAAGAGAGAGACACCGCAAACTCCAAATATACAGCAGCAGGCGTCAGGGTTGGGATCGAACCCACGACCTCCTGTACACCAGGCGAGGTAGTTAACATCTCCTAGCCACCATGATGATGATGAGAGACACAAACTCCAAATATACAGCAGCAGGCGTCAGGGTCTGGATCGAACCCACGACCTCCTGTGTACCAGGCGAGGTAGTTAACATCTCCTAGCCATCGTGATGATGATGACGAGAGAGAGACACCGCAAACTCCAAATATACAGCAGCAGGCGTCAGGGTTGGGATCGAACCCACGACCTCCTGTACACCAGGCGAGGTAGTTAACATCTCATAGCCACCATGATGATGATGAGAGACACAAACTCCAAATATACAGCAGCAGGCGTCAGGGTCTGGATCGAACCCACGACCTCCTGTGTACCAGGCGAGGTAGTTAACATCTCCTAGCCACCGTGATGATGATGACGAGAGAGAAATACATGCAAACTCCAAATATACAGCAGCAGGCGTCAGGGTTGGGATTACAGAAACTCACACAGAGACTCATAAACTCACAGACGCATAGACTCACACAGACTAAATAGACTCACAGACTCAGAGAGACCCACATACTCGCACAGAGACTCATATGCATCAAGACTCACATGGAGAACTCATAGACTCACACACAGACACATAGACTCACACAGAGACCCACAGACTCACACAGAAACCCACAGGCTCATAGACTCACACAGAGACCCAGACTCACACAGAAACTCACAGACTCACATAGAGACCCACAGACACAGAGACACACAGACTCATAGACTCACACAGAGACCCAGACTCACACAGAGACTCATATACACAGAAACTCACAGACCCACATAGAGACCCACAGACACAGAGACACACAGACTCATAGACTCACACAGAGACCCACAGACTCACACAGAGACCCACAGACTCATAGACTCACACAAAGACCCACAGACTCACACAGAAACCCACAGGCTCATAGACTCACACAGAGACCCAGACTCACACAGAGACTCATATACACAGAAACTCACAGACTCGCACAGAGACCCACAGACACACAGAGACACACAGACTCATAGACTCACAGAGACCCACAGACTCACACAGAAACCCACAGGCTCATAGACTCGCACAGAGACCCAGACTCACACAGAGACCCACAGACACAGAGACACACAGACTCATAGACTCACATAGAGACCCACAGACTCACACTCACACAGACTCATACAGAGACCCACAGACTCACACAGAGACCCACAGACTCACACAGAGACCCACAGACTCACACAGAGACCCACAGACTCACACAGAGACCCACACTCACACAGAGACTCGTGTGTAGCAGCTGCTGCTACATATGTAGGAGCTGCTGGTACATGTGTAGTACTACTACATGTGTAGTACTACTACATGTGTAGTAGTAGCTGCTACTACTACACATGTGTAGTAGTAGCTACTAGTATGTAGTAGTAGCAGATACTACATATGTAGTAGCTGCTACTACATGTGTAGCAGTACATGTGTAGCAGCTACTACTACATGTGTAGCAGCTGCTACATATGTAGTAGTAGCTTACTACATATGTAGTAGCTACTACTACATGTGTAGCAGCTACTACATGTGTTGCAGTACATGTGTAGCAGCTACTACTACATGTGTAGTATCAGCTGCTACTACACATGTAGTATTAGCTTACTACATGTGTATTAGCTGCTACACATGTAGTAGTCGCTTACGGGAGCTCCGCGCTAAACGCTTTCAAGAAATCAATTCCGGTTCACGATTCTGCACTTGCTCTATTACGAAAGCACGAGACTTGCCCTTTTCAACCTTTACCAACGAACGGGTGTTTAAGGCTATCGATTTTGTCGTATTATTCGATCTGTATAGCGAATAAAATTAGTTAAAAAAAAAAAAATTGACCGTTCAAGCAAAAAAAAAAATTATGCGTTTTTAATATTTTTTTTTTGTTAAACAAAAAACGTAGGGAGGCCCACGTTCATAACGCATTGCCACACATTACCTTGATCCTGCATCGTCGTATCGAGGCGATCAAATGGGAGAAGTCTTCGCGTGGATGCTTCGGCCTGCGACGAACGCGGCGTGCGGGACATCTCCACGGGGTTTCGCGACGACGCACGTGGGTAGCTGCGGGTCGCGGGCGAAACCATTCGTCTCTTTAAACGATGGGGGGGATGGGTGGTGGGGGGTGGTGGACCATTTGGTTTCTCCCATTTTCCTCGTTGGTTCTTTGGGTAAAGAAAATTAATGAATCTACACCAGCGGTCGGGAACCTATGGCTCGCGAGCCATATATGGCTCTTCCGGTGACTGCATATGGGCTCCCAGACAATTTTGAGTTGAGAAAAAAAATTAATAAAATAAAAATAAAATCAGTTTGGAACTGAGTTTAAAATACTTGTGATATTGCTTAATAATAGTGTGTCATTTTAAAGTGAACAGAAATTAGTTTCGAAGAAAAAATTTCTCGGGTCACGGGTCCCGTGACCAGAAGTCGCATTAAAAGTAAGACATTTAATTTATTATACGTTAAAAATACTATATGGCTCTAAATGAAATATATTTAGAAATATTTGGCTTTTATGGCTCTCCCAGTCAAAAAGGTTCCCGCACCCTGATCTACACTATGGGAACCTCATTTGCCAGTAAAAATATGATAATTGTTTTTTTACCCTTCTATCTGGCAACAAAACTGACACCTTTTTACAAGGAGTCATGTTTGCATAAACCGCAATACCTGTAGTCGTAATGCAAACAAAAGACATAACTCTGCACATTATCAGAGTTATGTCTTTTGTTTGCATTACGACTGCAGGTATTGCGGTCTATGCAAACATGACTCCGTGTAAAAAGGTGTCAGTTTTGTTGCCAGATAGAAGGGTAAAAAACCAATTATCAAAATTAATGAATTTCGATTGAAAGATTTCGTGACTGCAGGGATTCATCTTCTTGGTTCTTTCGGTAAAGTCACGTAGAGTGGAAATAATAAAATAATAAAAATAAAACATAATTAAATAATTCTCACGTTTCGGCCACATTCATTCAGACTCTGTCCTCTCGACAGACCTGTTCTTCACCTGAGGACGGCTGCTTGCGTTGTGGCCGAAACGTCGTGAGAATTATTTAATTATGTTTTATTATTATTTTATTATTTCCATTCTACGTGACTTTACCGAAATAACCAAGAAGAAAATTAATTAAGTAATGGAGTACGACGTTTCGATTGCGATACAAGCAGTCGTTATCAGAAAGAATTAAATTTGAGAGAGACAAAATACAGACACGGAGACAGACACAAGCAGAGACACACAACATAAACACACAGAGACACAACATAGACACACAGACATACACACGAGCAGAGAGAGACAACACAGAGACACACAGAGACACAGAGAGATAGACAACATAGACACACAGAGAGAAAGACACACACAGAGACACACAACATAGACACAGACATACACACAAGCAGAGAGAGACACACAACATAGACACACAGAGACACACACACACAGAGACACAACATAGACACACAGAGAGAGAGACACACAAAGACACACAACATAGACACACAGACAGACACACACAGACAGAGACAACACAGAGACACACAGAGAGAGACACACAACACAGACACACAGACAGACACAAGCCGCGAGAGACAACACAGAGACACAGAGAGAGACACACAACATAGACACACAGAGAGAGACGACACAGAGACACACAGAGAGAGACACACAACATAGACACACAGAAAAAAAAACTACGATCAGTTTTGGGCCCCTGCCCTGACTGTTTTCAGTTTCAGTTAAATTGATTAGGTATAGTCCTGTGAGCCATTCGGCTCTTGAATCGGGTGCAACCGCAACAAACAAAAAACAAAAACATGAACAAGAAAACATCTTAAAGTGACTATGCGCAAAACAGAAAAATCCAGGAAAAAACTGCAAAGTCTTCCAGAAAAAAAGCACCGTACACCAACACTGTGTGCAAAAATCCCAGTGGGATGCAAGTCAAACAACAACACAACAACCACAAGACAACTTAGATTAAAGCCATCATTCTAACTCCGTACTACCACAAACAAACATGGCCAAACCAAAAAACTTTTCGAAATGACCAAAATAAAGCCACAAAAGCATCCTCTTGGTTTTTTCTTTTAGGCACAAACAAAAAACAAAAACATGAACAAAAAAACATCTTAAAGTGACTATGTGACTGAGTGCAAACAGAAAATCACGAAAACTTCAAAGCCATGGAAACGATGTAACAGCTGCTGTCAATGGATCGTGGCGCCCTCCACTGCATCAATTCGGTACTGCACACGCAGATAAAGACTAAGGTCCCCGTGTAGCCTCAAGCGTACTTTTGGGTCAAGGGGCCGTCCATAAATGACGTCACGCACCTAGAGGGTGGGGGGGGGGGGGTCAGATATTTGTGTGTGACGAGAGGGGAGGGGGGTTGAGAAATGTGACGTCACATCAAAATACGCAACTTTAAATAAATACAGACAACACGTTCTACTTAAGTAAATATACTTTTTGATGAATTTCGATTTAAAGCTTTCGTGACTGCAGGGATTCATCTTCTTGGTTCTTTCGGTAAAGTCACGTAGAAGGGAAAAAATACAATTATAAAAATAAAATACAATTCTCACGACGTTTCGGCCACAACGCAAGCAGCCGTCCTCAGGTGAAGAACAGGTCTGTCGGAAAGACAGCGTCTGAATGAACACCACCAAGCTAGTGTGGGGCCTGTAGCATATGGTGTTTTAAAGTGGCCCTAAATGAAAAAAAACGTAAATATTAAAACACACATTTTTTACTTGCATAATAAAGTAATTATATATTCTTGGTTCTTTCGGTAAAGTCAAGTAGATAGAAAACAAAAACTAAAATAATAAAAATATAAATTAAAATAATAAATAAGAAAAGTCATATATTTATGTAACTGTAATTTGATTATTCTTTAAAAAAAATAGTGGTGTTTTTGCTTTTACTATTTCCAATTTATTACAGTATTTTACATTTTTATTATTTAAAATTTAAGCCATTTCTTTACAACTGCCTTCATGCGTTTAGTCTGCGTGTGTCCTTCCCCATCCCCCCGTACCTATGATCAGCCGAGGTTGCCTACGTGCGGTGCCAAAGAAGTTCAACAGACGGACACTCGGAAAACCTTTCACCCGTGGCACGGTGACACGGCATCAGCGTGGAAGAGAAGCGGAGCGATGGAGAAAACGATGCGCGTTGAACTTCTTTCGCACCGCACGTAGCCAACGGCGTCTGATCGGAGGAAAGACACGCGCGTGCTAAACACGTGAAGGCAATTCTGAAGAAATGGCTTAACGTGTGATGCATGGGGAGGGGGAGAGGTGGTGATGCAGCTAAGGAGGGAAGCTATCGGTGATGGATGTGGCAATGAAAATGTTTTTTACACAGAAAACAGGGGGAACATAGACATAGAGTAGGGAGAGAGGGGGTAGAGAGAGAGGGGGGGTAGAGAGAGGGGGTAGAGAGACAGGGGGTAGAGAGGGGGGTAGAGAGAGAGGGGGTAGAGAGAGAGGGGGTAGAGAGAGAGAGGGGGTAAAGAGGGGGGGGTAGAGAGAGAGGGGGTAGAGAGAGAGGGGGGGTAGAGAGAGGGGGTAGAGAGACAGGGGGTAGAGAGGGGGGTAGAGAGAGAGGGGGTAGAGAGAGAGGGGGTAGAGAGAGAGAGGGGGTAAAGAGGGGGGGTAGAGAGAGAGGGGGTATAGAGATAGGGGGGGGGGGGTAGAGAGAGAGAGGGGGTAGAGAGAGAGGGGGTAGAGAGGGGGGTAGAGAGAGGGGGGGGGGGTAGAGAAAGGGGGTACAGAGAGAGAGGGGGGTAGAGAGAGAGGGGGTAGAGAAAGGGGGTACAGAGAGAGAGGGGGGTAGAGAGAGAGGGGGTAGAGAGAGAGGGGGGTAGAGAGAGAGGGGTAGAGAAAGGGGGGTAGAGAGAGGGGGTACAGAGAGAGAGGGGGGTAGAGAGAGAGGGGGTAGAGAGAGAGAGAGAGGGGGTAGAGAGAGAGAGAGAGAATGTGTAAGAAGGAAGAGAGAAGAGCGTGAAATATTTTGTTAAATCTTTCATTTAAAAATAGAGGGAGGGGGGCACATAAAGCAAAGCAATGAAAAAAAAACGAAATGATGAACGAAGCAAAGTGCCGACTACACCGAGCATCTTCTTGATTCCTCTGATCGTAAACAAGGTGTGTGTAGAGGGAGGGAGGGAATGATCAAGGTGTGTGTGGAGGGAGGGAATGATCAAGGTGTGTGTGGAGGGAGGGAGGGAGGGAATGATCAAGGTGTGTGTGGAGGGAGGGAATGATCAAGGTGTGTGTGGAGGGAGGGAGGGAATGATCAAGGTGTGTGTGGAGGGAGGGAGGGAATGATCAAGGTGTGTGTGGAGGGAGGGAATGATCAAGGTGTGTGTGGAGGGAGGGAATGATCAAGGTGTGTGTGGAGGGGGAGGGAGGAATGATCAAGGTGTGTGTGGAGGGAGGGAGGGAATGATCAAGGTGTGTGTGGAGGGAGGGAGGGAATGATCAAGGTGTGTGTGGAGGGAGGGAGGGAATGATCAAGGTGTGTGTGGAGGGAGGGAGGGAATGATCAAGGTGTGTGTGGAGGGAGGGAATGATCAAGGTGTGTGTGGAGGGAGGGAGGGAATGATCAAGGTGTGTGTGGAGGGAGGGAGGGAATGATGAAGGAGAGGATATGTAAAGGGAGGAGCAGCCACCACCGGTCTTCGTTAAATCTCAAACTCCAGCTCAAGTCGCCTCCACCCACCCACTCACCCACCCCCCCGATCTGCACGTCTCTGCTCAAGCAGTTGAGCCATGCGCACCCAGAATCGCGTTACGCTGCTGCTGCTGCTGTTGCAGATGCTGATGCTGAGTGCCACACCGATGATGGCAATCCCTGCTGCCGCTGCTCCTGCTGCTGCTGAAACAGGTAAGACAATAAAAACGATTCGTGGTAATGTGAGTTTATTGTTCTGGCTGTCGCCTGATGAAGCTGGTTGTCATTACTGGCGAAACGTCGTACTCGGATTGTGAATGTTTGTGGCTTGGCTCTCCAACACACCGGTGTTGCTGTACTAGTATACTACACTATACACTACACTATACACTACACGTATACACTACACTATACACTACTATACACTACACGTATACACTACTATACACTACTATACACTACACTTATACACTGCACTACACTATACACTACACTATACACTACACTTATACACTACACTATACACTACACTTATACACTACACTATACACTACACTATACACTACACTTATACACTGCACTACACTATACACTACACTATACACAACACTTATACACTACACTATACACTACACTATACACTACACGTATACACTGCACTATACACTACACTATACACTACACTATACACTACACTTATACACTGCACTACACTATACACTACACTATACACAACACTTATACACTACACTATACACTACACTATACACTACACGTATACACTGCACTATACACTACACTATACACTACACTATACACTACACTATACACTACACTACACACTAGTGCTGTACTAGTACACTACACACTACACTACACACTACTATACACTACACTATACACTACACTACACACTAGTGCTGTACGAGTGACGAATTGGCCACGTTCTGTTTACGTGACAACCCTCACTAGTTGGCTGTGTCGGGTGGTGGCGGGTCTTGACGACACAACATTTATACGTTTACGCGATCTAACCACCCCCCTCCCAAAAAACCCCTGTATTGTGAATATTATTGGTCGAGAAAGCCTACCAAGTGTTCAATTGACAGGGAAGCAAAAGGTTTACAGCCACTTTTGTCAATCCACTGCTGGATGAGGGTCTTCACTACGCCGTGTGGATCGTGGGGAGGGGGGGGGGGGTTATTTTGACCATACTTCACCACGCTGGTCAGCGCGGGGCCTGGCGGCGTCAAGTTCGATTCCCGCTCGCGGCCAAGGCCAATGTGTGACGTGTGTGTGTAATGTGTGTCACGTGTGTGTCACGTGTGTGTGACGTGTGTGTGTGTAGTGTGACGTGTAGTGTGACGTGTAGTGTGACGTGTGTGTGTAGTGTGACGTGTGTGTGTAGTGTGACGTGTGTGTGTAGTGTGACGTGTGTGTGTGTAGTGTGACGTGTGTGTCACGTGTGTGTGACGTGTGTGTGTGTGTAGTGTGACGTGTGTGTGTAGTGTGACGTGTGTGTGTAGTGTGACGTGTGTGTGTGTAGTGTGACGTGTGTGTCACGTGGTTGTGACGTGTGTGTGTAGTGTGTGTCACGTGTGTGTAGTGTGTGTCACGTGTGTGTGTGTAGTGTGTGTCACGTGTGTGCGACGTGTGTGTGTAGTGTGACGTGTGTGTGTGTGTGTAGTGTGTGTGTGTGTAGTGTGACGTGTGTGTGTAGTGTGACGTATGTGTCACGTGTGTGTGTGTGTGTAGTGTGACGTGTGTGTGTAATGTGTGTCACGTGTATGTGACGTGTGTGTGTAGTGTGACGTATGTGTCACGTGTGTGTGTGTGTGTGTAGTGTGACGTGTGTGTGTAGTGTCACGTGTGTGTAGTGTGACGTGTGTGTGCGTACTGTCACGTGTGTGTGTGTAGTGTGACGTGTGTGTGGTGTGACGTATGTGTCACGTGTGGCGTGTGTGTAGTGTGACGTGTGACTTGTGTGTGTGTATGTGTCACGTGTGTGTGACGCGTGTGTGTGCGTACTGTCACGTGTGTGTAGTGTGACGTGTTTGTGTGTAGTGTCACGTGTGTGTGTGTGTGTAGTGTGACGTGTAGTGTGACGTGTAGTGTGACGTGTGGTGTGACGTGTGTGTGTAGTGTGACGTATGTGTCACGTGTGTGTGACGTGTGTGTGTGCGTAGTGTCAAGTGTGTGTAGTGTGACGTGTGTGTGTGTAATGTGGTGTGTGTGTAGTGTGACTTGTATGTGTGTGCGTATGTGTCACATGTGTGTGTAGTGTCACGTGTGTATGTACGTATTTTGAACTTCTTTCGCACCCTACGTGGCCCACCGTGGCCAATCGGAGGTGCGGGGAAAAAGGAAACAAACTAAATGGGGATACGCCGGCGATGTGGGGTGACGTTGAGTGGTGGGACAGGGGTTAGTGGCGCAGCGCTACGAATCCGGTGACCCGAGTTTGATTCCCACTCACGACCCAACGACGATTCTATAAACCGGTCCTGGGCCTCCCCTAGCTCGACTCAGCCTCAAAATGACTACCTGATGCGGTTTTGTAAACATCGCCACTGGGGAGACCCCCTCTCTCTCTACCCCCTCTCTCTCTACCCCCCCCCTCTCTCTGTACCCCCTCTCTCTACCCCATCTTTCTACCCACCCCCTCTCTCTACCCCATCTTTCTACCCACCCCTCTCTCTCTACCCCCCCTCTCTCTCTACCCCCTCTCTCTTTACCCCCTCTCTCTACCCCCCCTCTCTACCCCTTCTCTCTCTACCCCCCCCCCTCTCTCTCTACCCCCCCGTGCGCTAACAGCACTTGCCACAACAGTCTGTTAAGGTGACACGGTGGGGTCTTTGCCTTTGTCTTTGATGCCTACAGCAGCAGCTGGAGACCTGGACGAGTGCGCTCTAGGCACGGATGAGTGCCACCCTGACGCCATTTGCCGGAACACGCCGGGCTCGTACACGTGCAGCTGCACGCCGGGACACCACGGGGACGGCAGGCACTGCCAAGGTGGACCATGTTGGCTTGCGGAAAACGTCGCACCACTTGCACGAATGCTGCTGCTGCTGCTACTTCTTCTTCGTAATGTAATGTGAGGATATATCCGGCTCATCAACGTATCACAACTCGTCACGATGATTGGCTCTGCCGGTCCTGGTCTATAGCCAATGGGGGGGAAGCCTAGGGGCGTGGCCCTGACGTCATGGAAAGGTGACAGCTGTAAGTAGAGGATTGGTTCTGCTGGCTTTGGCCACAGCCGACGAGTTAGGGGCGTGGTCCCGGGAGCTGACGAGGGAGCCTGGAATATTCCATGGAGGCTAACGAGGATTGGCAGAAACGTACCACGTGACCCGGGTATTAAATAGCGGTGGAGACGAATGACACGTGGTCAGAACTGGAACGAACGGAGGAAGGGGGCCACGCGGGAGCGGGGCTCCGGGTTGCCACGTGGTCCAGGCTGCCACGTGGTCCAGGCTGCCACGTGGCAGTGCGTCTCTCTCTCTATCTATCCCTCTCACGCTGCCTGTCAGCAGCGTGAAGGAAAGCTGTAATGCAAAGTGAATGAAAGACCGGATTCCAGAAGTCGCCTCAACGACCTTATTTACAGTAACCTGGGGTGCTCGCGAATGTCGGCTATCTACAGCGGTGTACATCCGTGGCAGGGCCTGTGTCGATCTTCGTGTCGTTTAGAGCAGCGGCCCTCAACTTTTTTGCCACCAGGAACCGGTTTTGTGGAAGACAATTTTGTTTTCACGACCCGGGGTGGAGGGGGGGTTCATCATTGGGTCTTTCGCCCCTTTTCAAAGAAGCTCTCCGGCGACGTTTGTTTTTGTTACTCATTTTGGCTACTAGGGGGTTAGCAGCTCGTGGGCTTACCAACACTGTGACTGAGACACGGGCGCAGTGCGGGAAAGAGGCACCGATGGAAGTGGTAAATAATAAAATAATAGGGGGGGGGGGGGCACGCGCGGACTCACCACTTACCTCCTGCTGTGCGGCGCGGTTCCTAAACACAAGCGGTCGTCCTCAGGCGGAAAAAATATCATCCAGCAGTGGAACTGCTGAACCAGCGTCTCTGCGTTTTCAATCTGCGTCTGCACACTCAAGGCACGTGTCGTCGTCCCCCCCCCCCCCCCATGTGTCCATCGTGCAGAGTCGGACACGTGCTCGTTGTCCGCTGGCGGGGGTTGTGTCCACGCGTGCACTCGGACGCGCGCGTCCTTCCGCTGCTCCTGCCTCGACGGGTTCCGCCTCGCGGACACCGGCTTCGACTGCCTGGGTCAGTCGCGCGGGGCAGTCAGTCACGCGGGGCAGTCACGGGGTGGTCACGTGACCGGTCACGAGCACACACACGGAGTCACGGGGCAATCACAAGACAGTCAGTCACGCGGCCAGCCAGTGGCGAGGTCGTCACGGGCAGACGGAGTCACGGGCACAGTCAGTCACGTGGCCAGTCACGGGGCAGTCACGTGAGCGGTCACGAGCACACACACGGGCCACGGGAGAGTCATGGGCACAGTCAGACACGGGACAGTCAGTGGCGAGGTCGTCACGGGTACACGGAGTCACGGGCACAGTCAGTCACGTGGCCAGCCAGTGGCGAGGTAGTCACGGGCACACTGAGTCACGGGCACAGTCAGTCACGCGGCCAGTCACGGGGTGGTCACGTGGCCGGTCACGAGCACACACACGGAGTCATGGGAGAGTAACGGGCACAGTCAGTCACGGGACAGCCAGTGGCGAGGTCGTCATGGGCAGACGGAGTCACGGGGACAGTCAGTCACGTGACCATCACGGGGCAGTCACGTGACCAGTCACGGACACACAGAGTCACGGGCACAGTCAGTCACGGCGACGGGAGAGGTACCGTCACTCGACGGCTGTAGTCTGGGACAGAGGGAGTCGTGGGAGGTCACGGGGCAATCACACTCACGGACAGTCACAGCCACAATCAGTCACGGGCAGTCACGGTATGGGTGTGCGCGTGTGCCGTGTAGATGTGGATGAGTGTCTCAGTGACAACGGCGGCTGCGACCAGCTGTGCCTCAACTCCATGGGCAGCTACGAGTGCTCCTGCCGGGACGGCTTTCACCTGAGCGCCAACCTGCACACCTGCACGCCCGCCCAGCCCGGTGCGTCTCACACCTGCACGCCCGCCCAGCCCGGTGCGTCTCACACCTGCACGCCCGCCCAGCCTGGTGCGTCTCACACCTGCACGCCCGCCCAGCCCGGTGTGTCTCACACCTGCACGCCCGCCCAGCCCGGTGTGTCTCACACCTGCACGCCCGCCCAGCCCGGTGCGTCTCACACCTGCACGCCCGCCCAGCCCAGTGCGTCTCACACCTGCACGCCCGCCCAGCCCGGTGCGTCTCACACCTGCACGCCCGCCCAGCCCGGTGCGTCTCACACCTGCACGCCCGCCCAGCCCGGTGCGTCTCACACCTGCACGCCCGCCCAGCCCGGTGCGTCTCACACCTGCACCCCCGCCCAGCCGGTGCGTCTCACACCTGCACGCCCGCCCAGCCTGGTGCGTCTCACACCTGCACGCCCGCCCAGCCCAGTGTGTCTCACACCTGCACGCCCGCCCAGCCCGGTGTGTCTCACACCTGCACGCCCGCCCAGCCCGGTGTGTCTCACACCTGCACGCCCGCCCAGCCCGGTGTGTCTCACACCTGCACGCCCGCCCAGCCCGGTGTGTCTCACACCTGCACGCCCGCCCAGCCCGGTGTGTCTCACACCTGTGTTGTCTCACACCTGTGTCTCACACCTGTGGTGTCTCGGCTGCGGTGTCTCACACCTGTGTCTCACACCTGTGGTGTCACGTGTCTCATCTATCTCACACCTGTGGTGTCACGTGTCTCTCACCTGTGGTGTCACGTGTCTCTCACCTGTGATGTCACGTGTCTCACACCTGTGGTGTCACGTGTGTCACACACCTGTGGTGTCACGTGTCTCACCTGTGGTGTCACGTGTCACACCTGTGGTGTCACGTGTCTCACACACCTGTGTGCCACCTGTGTTGTTATCCCTTGACTCACGATGTAGATAATCTGATGATATTGATCTGACGTTGACGACGATGATGATGGCGACGACGATGATTGGTGTTACAGGTGTCCCGGGCTGCGTGAGCGGTTCTCACACCTGTGCGCACCTGTGCGTCAATGAGATGGAGCCCAACGTGCCGTGCGTGTGCCGGCCCGGGCACACGCTGGGGCCTGACCTCGACAGCTGCATCAGTGAGACACCCACCAACCCCGTAGACACACACGCACACTACACAGACAAAGCTCTCCCCCGCCGTGTAGCCTTGTAACAGACTGTTGGGGCAAGTGCTGTTTGGCCACGACCACTCCCGGCCGCCTTTGTCTTCCTGCTGATGTTTACGCAACGCACCAGGTGCTAAGCTTACGAAAAAGGTTAAGGCTGAGTCGACCTCGAGGAAGACCACGACTGGTTCAGATAAACCCAGCCTTCTTCATGCATGCGGCCACCAGGGGCCGCACTAAAGGCTGCCAGGGACCCCACTAAAGGTCACCAGGGGCCGCATTAAAGGTCACCAGGGGCCGCACTAAAGGTCACCAGGGGCCGCACTAAAGGTCACCAGGGGCCGCACTAAAGGCCACCAGGGGCCACATTAAAGGTCACCAGGGACCGCACTAAAGGTCACCAGGGGCCGCACTAAAGGTCACCAGGGGCCGCACTAAAGGTCACCAGGGGCCGCACTGAAGGTCACCAGGGGCCGTCGGTGGCCCATGGGCCTTGCGATAAAGAACACTGAGATATCTTCTTGGTTCTTTCGGTAAAGTCACGTAGAAGGGAAATAATAAAATAAAAATTTTTTACATAATAACTAATTTATTATGCTTTTTTTATTATTTTAGTCACGTAGAAGGGAAATAAAAAAATGATAAAAATTAAACATAATATAAAAATGATTATGCTTTATTTGTATTATTTAATTATTTCCCTTCTACGTGACTTGACCGAAAGAACCAAGAAGATGAAGCCCTGCAGTCACGAAAGTTTTAAATCGAAAACACTGAGATAAATCGTCAGCCGGTGTTGGTGGCCGTGAGTGGGAATCCCGGAACTGCCGCTTCCCATGCCCACCCACCCAATCGGCACGTACGGTGCGAAAGAAGTTCAACATATGTACATACAAACACCCGCCCGTGCCACCCGCCCGTGCCACCCTCCACAGAGACTTGTGCCCACGGCAACGGAGGCTGCCAGCACGGATGCTCCGACTCGGAGCGCGGGCCCGTGTGCTCGTGCCAGGCGCGGTACACCCTGCACGCCGACGGCCACAGCTGCGTGGGTGAGCGACTACACTGGGTGATGGCGGTGGTGGTTGTGGTGATGGTGGTGGTGGCGGCGGTGGTGGTGGTGGTGGTGGCAGTGGTGGTGGTTGTGGCGACGGTGGTGGTGGTTGTGACGACAGTGATGGCAGTGGTGGTGGCGGCGGTGGTGGCGACGGTGGTGGTGGTTGTGGTGACAGTGGTGGTGATGGCGGTAGTGGTTGTGGCGATGGTGGTCGTGGTGGCGGCGGTGGTGGTGGCGGTGGCAGTGGTGGTGGCGGTGGCAGCGGCGGTGGTGGTGGCAGTGGTGGTGGTGACAGTGGCGGTTATGGGTCTGGCAAAAACAACCCCTACCTCCTCGTGGTGCCGGACGGCAACGCTGTGGTGGGCCGTGCCGTGGGTTAACGAGGCTGGATTGTGTGAGGAGCTCACAAATCATTGAAACATTTGGACAAAGTCCCATTGGTGGGCTCCTCCGGCAGGCAAGGCTGCGTTGGCTGGGCGTATGGTATCTCCTGTAATCTCTCATTTACTTGATACAGCTGTCGGGCTGTGACGGTTCCACCTGAAGACGGAAGCTTGTGTTGCTTCCGAAACGTCGTGATTTTTATTTTATTTTACTTTTATTAATTTAAATGTTTTACCTACGTGACTTTACCGAAAAACCTAAGAATATGAATCCTTGCACTCACGAAAGCTTCCAATCTAGAATAAATGGGCGTATGTAGGCCGCATGCCCAGGCACCGCATGCCTAAACAGCTTTTGTTCGGCCGGATCGAGGGGGCTAAACGGGCGTGGCACGGGCTAGAGAAGAGATGGAGTGATGTGATACAGGAGGACGTGGAGCTGAGTGGACTTGCCGATGACTGGTACCAGCGGTGTCAAGATTGGCCTCTGTGGAGGAGGCTCATGAAGGATGCTACTGGGCAGTTGGAGGCAGTCGCCCTCCAACAACAACGGAGGGCGGAGGAGCGATGCTCACAACAACGAGTGGAGCACTGGGTGCTAAAGCACAGCAAGTTGGCACAGTAGGGAGCACAGGTGGTGCATCAGCCAGTCATCTCGGTGATCTCAGTCAGTCGGCCCGTGGCACCTGGGTCTGCTCCGTGACCTCCTGCCAGCGGGCGTTTGACACTTCACGTGGTAGCCTCAAGGTGCACATGGCCTGGCACAAGCGTTATGGTGACGTCACCGCCACTTAGTGGCGAATGGCGGTTGTTGTTGTAGCGACAGTGGTCGCAGTGTCGGTGGCGGTCGTCGTGTTGGTGGTCATGGTGGCGGCGGTGGTGGTGGTGGTGGTGACGATTGGCGAGAGTGGTGGTGGTGGCGGTGGTAGTGGCGATGGCGGCGGTGGTGGTGCTGGCGGTGGTTGTGGCGACAGTAATGGTGGCAACGGTGGCGGTGGGGATGCCTTCATCCAGCAGTGGATAGACCATCACTGATGACGACAATGCGGATGATGGTGTGTAAATGCACTGTTGTTTCACGCATTAACAGCAGACATTTGCACGGACGGTGATGGTGGAGGTGGCGGCTGCGTCCACCAGTGTGGCGGTGGTGGAGCATGCAACTGCCCACAGGGTTTCCACCAGCCTCCCGGAGCCAACGAGTGCCAAGGTACCCGTTGGAAAGCCGTTTCGCTACGCGATTGCATACGCAAGTACGCACACACTCTGCAATGCAGTACACACACACACACACGCACGCGCGTGCGTAGAGACGACTTCGACGCACTTGTTCGGCGTCATCTGGTCCAACACCATGTGAGACTAGGCTCTAAGGAAAGCTGTCTCGGGTGTGGACCAATCAACTTCAAGGAGAGTGCATACATTATCAGAGTTATGTTTTTTTTTGCATTATGACTGCAGGTATTGTGGTCTATGTAAACATGACTCCTTGTAAAAAGGTGTCAGTTTTGTTGCCAGAGAGAAGGGTAAAAAAACTATTATCATATTTTTACTGGAAAATGAGGTTCCAATGGTGAAAGGATTCTCTATTTAAGGAGCCATGTGCTCACCCTCGAACCGGCCAAAACCCCACCGCGACAGCCCCGAATCTCCCGCTCATTCCTTTTATATTACGGTACGTGGCCACGCCCCCTGTCACGTGGCCACGCCCCTATTCTCGATCATTCTCGTGGCCACTAGTCCACTCGCACTGCAGGTTGACTCTACTGTCATTACTCACATACAGATGCATACGGACATGTCCACATGTACACACGCAGAGGAAGACACACATGCACAGGCCAAAACAAAGACAAAGATCCCCTATATAGTCTACAGAGGCTGTTGGGGCAAGTGCTGTTAGCGAGCACCTATGAAGGCCGGCACGGCACACGAGGGGGTGGGTGGCCAGCACCACGCCCGACCGTCTTTGTCTCCCTAACGGCGATGTTTACACACCGCACCAGGTACTCATTTGAGGCTGAGTCGACCTAGGGGAGGCCCAGGACCGGTTCAAGTAATCGTCACTGGTTTAGGCCGTGAGCGTGAATCGATCTCCTGTGGCCGGGTTCGTAGCGCAGCGTAGCGCTAACCGCTGCACCACCGCTCCCCACACACACTCAGCTGAACATACACACACATACTCTTACACACACACTCTTACACACACACATACACACACACATACAAACACTCATACACACACATACTCTTACACATATATACACACATACTCTTACACACACACACACACATATACACACACATACTCTTACACACACATACTCTTACACACACACATATATACACACATACTCTTACACACATATATATATATACACACATACTCTTACACACACACGAATATACACACACGGTGTGGAGAGAGAGGCACGGGGAGGAGAGCTACGTGACCCCAACGAGTCTCGCGCACGCAACACTCACACAACAACAACAACAACCGCCATTCGCCAAGTAGTGGCGATGACGTCACCACGACGCTTGTGCCAGGCCATGTGCACCTTGAGGCCACGTGAAGTGTCGACAGACAGGCAGACAACACACAGACATACAACAACCGCCATTTGCCACTCAGTGGCGGTGACGTCACCACGACGTTTGTGCCAGGCCAGACAGAAATCACATAGACACACACACACAGAGACAAACAACACAGACAGACAGACAACACACAGACACAAGACAAAGATCCCCCGTATAGCCTTAACAGACTGTAGGGGCAAGTGCTGTTAGCGAGCACCTATGAAGGCCGGCACGGCACACGAGGGGGTGTGTGGCCAGCACCACGCCCGACCGCCTTTGTCTCCCCAGTGGCAATGTTTACACACAGCACCAGGTACTCCTTTGAGGCTGAGTCGACCTAGGGGAGGCCCGGAACCGGTTCAGATAATCGTCACTGGTGTTGGCCGTGAGCGGGAATCGAACCCGTGTCGCCAGGTTCATAGCGCAGCGTGCTAACCGCTACACTATCGCTCCCCACGACAGACACACACACACAGACACACACACACAGACACACACACAGACTGACAGACAACACACAGACACACAGGCAGACCACACACACACAGACAGACACACACAGACAGACACACACACAGACAGACAGACAACACACAGACACACAGGCAGACAACACACACACACAGACACACACACAGAAAGACACACACACAGACAGACAGACAACACACAGACACACAGGCAGACAACACACACACACAGACAGACACACACACAGACAGACAGACAACACACAGACACACAGGCAGACAACACACACACAGACAGACACAAAGACAACACACACACAGACAGACACACACAGACAGACACACACACAGACAGACAAACACACACACACCGACAGATAAGACAGCGGGACGCAGGGAATGCGTAAACAGGCGTCAGCACCCCCCCCCCCACGCGAAATGCGAGCGACCGGGCACATTTAGCCGATTCCAGAAGCCGATCAAAATTCTTAGTTCTTTCGGTAAAGTCACTTAGATAAAAAAAAATGTTAAAATTGTTTTAAAATATAAATCATGATAATAGCTTTTTCCCCTTTTATCTGGCAACAAAACAGGTGTTAAGATTTTAAAACACCAAACTGAAATCTTTGAGACGTTGTCTAACAACACCGTTTGAGACGAGGCTCAAAAGAAAGCTGTCTCTGGTGTGGACCAATCAGTTTCAAGGACAATGCCAATATTTTATCAGAGCGTGTTTTTTTTTGTTTGCATTCTGACCACAAGCGTTGTGGTTAACGCAGACATAATTCCACGAAAATAGGTTTCAATTTTGTGTTTTAACATCTTAACACAGCTGTTTAATTCTTCTTGGTTCTTTCGGTAAAGTCACGTAGAATGGGAATAATAAAATAATAAAAATAAAACATAATTAAATAATTCTCACGACGTTTCGGCCACAACGCAAGTAGCCGTCCTCAGGTGGAGAACAGGTCTGTCGAGGAGACAGCGTCTGTTTACTTGCCAGAAAAAAGGGGAAAACCCTATTCTCACATTTTGGTACTGGCAAAGGAGATCCCATGAAATATAATTAATTTTTTATTTTAATTTAATTTTTATTTTCTATCGACTCGACTTTACCGATAGAACTAAGAATATCAATTCCAGCAGTCACGAAAGTTGAAAGTCAAAATCTCAGCCGATCAAAGTTGTTTGCGTCTTTGTTATCGGCGGGGGAGCGGGGAGGGGGGTGGGTGCGGGTTAAGCTGCATGTTTCACATTTTGGCCGTCTTCTCAGAATAATAAAAAAAAATACTAAAAATTCTAATATATCCTTAAAAAATTCAATTTTAGAAAAAAAGACATCACATAAAAAAAATTTCGTTCAGAAAAATAAAAAGAATCCACCCACACTCACCGCTCGCTACCCCCACCCATCAATATCTGTCGCTTCCTACGGAAAAGAGAAACTTGTTTTAAGATTTTGAGAAAATGTGGCCTTGCTTAGGCACAGGTGTTAGCCGGCAATCGAAGTATTCCGGCTCCACCTCGCCCTCCCCCCCTCCCACGCTGTCTCCCCCCTCTCTGCAGCTGGGTTTGCCTTGGCTACACGGACCTCAATGACTTACACAGAGTGGCAATGTCTTACACAGAGTGGCAATGAATTACAATGTCTTACACAGAGTGGCAATGTCTTACACAGAGTGGCAATGAATTACAATGTCTTACACAGAGTGGCAATGTCTTACACAGAGTGGCAATGAATTACAATGTCTTACACAGAGTGGCAATGACTTACACAGAGTGGCAATGTCTTACACAGAGTGGCAATGTCTTACACAGAGTGGCAATGAATTACAATGTCTTACACAGAGTGGCAATGTCTTACACAGAGTGGCAATGTCTTACACAGAGTGGCAATGACTTACACAGAGTGGCAATGTCTTACACAGAGTGGCAATGTCTTACACAGAGTGGCAATGTCTTACACAGAGTGGCAATGTCTTACACAGAGTGGCAATGAATTACAATGTCTTACACAGAGTGGCAATGTCTTACACAGAGTGGCAATGTCTTACACAGAGTGGCAATGACTTACACAGAGTGGCAATGTCTTACACAGAGTGGCAATGTCTTACACAGAGTGGCAATGTCTTACACAGAGTGGCAATGTCTTACACAGAGTGGCAATGTCTTACACAGAGTGGCAATGTCTTACACAGAGTGGCAATGTCTTACACAGAGTGGCAATGACTTACACAGAGTGGCAATGTCTTACACAGAGTGGCAATGTCTTACACAGAGTGGCAATGTCTTACACAGAGTGGCAATGTCTTACACTGAGTGGCAATGTCTTACACAGAGTGGCATTACCTGTGCAATGTCTTACACAGAGTGGCAATGTCTTACACAGAGTGGCAATGTCTTACACAGAGTGGCAATGTCTTACACAGAGTGGCAATGTCTTACACAGAGTGGCAATGTCTTACACAGAGTGGCAATGTCTTACACAGAGTGGCAATGTCTTACACAGAGTGGCAATGTCTTACACAGAGTGGCAATGTCTTACACAGAGTGGCAATGTCTTACACAGAGTGGCAATGTCTTACACAGAGTGGCAATGTCTTACACAGAGTGGCAATGTCTACACAGAGTGGCAATGTCTTACACAGAGTGGCAATGTCTTACACAGAGTGGCAATGTCTTACACAGAGTGGCAATGTCTTACACAGAGTGGCAATGTCTTACACAGAGTGGCAATGTCTTACACAGAGTGGCAATGTCTTACACAGAGTGGCAATGTCTTACACAGAGTGGCAATGTCTTACACAGAGTGGCAATGTCTTACACAGAGTGGCAATGTCTTACACAGAGTGGCAATGTCTTACACAGAGTGGCAATGTCTTACACAGAGTGGCAATGTCTTACACAGAGTGGCAATGTCTTACACAGAGTGGCAATGTCTTACACAGAGTGGCAATGTCTTACACAGAGTGGCAATGTCTTACACAGAGTGGCAATGTCTTACACACAGTGGCAATGTCTTACACAGAGTGGCAATGTCTTACACAGAGTGGCAATGTCTTACAAAGAGTGGCAATGTCTTACACAGAGTGGCAATGTCTTACACAGAGTGGCAATGTCTTACACAGAGTGGCAATGTCTTACACAGAGTGGCAATGACTTACACAGAGTGGCAATGTCTTACAAAGAGTGGCAATGTCTTACACAGAGTGGCAATGTCTTACACAGAGTGGCAATGTCTTACACAGAGTGGCAATGTCTTACACAGAGTGGCAATGACTTACACAGAGTGGCAATGTCTTACACAGAGTGGCAATGTCTTACACAGAGTGACAATGTCTTACACAGAGTGGCAATGTCTTACACAGAGTGGCAATGTCTTACACAGAGTGGCAATGTCTTACACAGAATGGCAATAACTTACACAGAGTGGCAATGTCTTACACAGAGTGGCAATGACTTAGAACTGTTTAGTTGTGTTTAGTTTTTTTTCCTTCCCCCGCACTCTCCGATCATCCACGGCTGGGCCAAGTAACGGCGCGAAAGATGTTCAACGCACGCACACGCACACGCACACACAAACACGCGCGCGCACGCACACGCACGCACACGTGCGCACAGAGAATTCCGACACTCAAAAAATGTGTAGCAGGTGTGTGTCGCGGGGTAGCGATGGGGTAAGGAAGTTTCGCCTGTCTCGGCGGAGGCTGGCGCGCACGGAATGAGGAGTCCGCGTTTGATCGGGAGCCGAATTCGGGGCACGCCACGCATGGGGCATAACTTGCTTGCTCCCCACACGCACACGGCGTGATCGCGCGCTCATCACGATCCACGCAACGCTGGCTCGCAGCTCATCGCGGGGCATACCTCTGGTGCGCGCATGGCACGCACCAGACGGGGCATTCCTCATTCGACTGCACGCACGGACATCTACGCACGCACATCCACGCACGCACATCCATGCACGCACGCACATCCACGCACGCACATCCACGCACGCACGCACATCCACGCACGCACATCCACGCACGCACGCACATCCACGCACGCACATCCACGCACGCACATCCACGCACGCACATCCACGCACGCACGCACATCCACGCACGCACATCCATGCACGCACGCACATCCACGCACGCACGCACATCCACACACACATCCACGCACATCCACGCACATCCACGCACGCACATCCACGCACGAATATCCACGCACGCACATGCACGCACATCCACGCACGCATATCCACACACGCACATCCACGCACGCACATTCACACACGCACATCCACGCACACACGCACATCCACGCACGCACATCCACGCACATCCACGCATGCACATCCACGCACGCACATCCACGCACGCACATCCACGCACACACGCACATCCACGCACGCACATTCACACACGCACATCCACGCACGCACATTCACACACGCACATCCACGCACGCACATCCACGCACATCCACGCACGCACATCCACGCACATCCACGCACGCACATCCACGCACGCACATCCACGCACGCACGCACATCCACACACGCACATCCACGCACGCACGCACATCAACGTACGCACGCACATCCACACACACACGCACATCCACGCACACACGCATATCCACGCACGCACACCCACGTACACACGCACATCCACACACGCACATCCACTCCGACGCACAGTTACACAAAGATCCTCCCTATAGGCTTCTGATCAGCGCGGTTGGCTCTCCGTACGATGCGAAAGCAGTTCCACTACATCTTCTTGGTTCTTTCGGTAAAGTCACGTAGAAGGGAAGTAATAAAATAATAAAAATAAAACAAAGTAGTTTTCACGACGTGAGAATTATTTTATTATGTTTGTCTGAAAGACGCTTGTTTGTCTGAAAGACGCTGTCGCCTCGACAGACCTGGTCTTCACCTGAGGACGGCTGCTTGCGTTGTGGCCGAAACGTCGTGAGAATTATTTTATTTTTATTTTGATGTTTTACTTACGTGACTTAACCGAAAAAAACCTAAGAATATGAATCTTTGCAGTCACGAAAGCTTCAAATCTAGGGTTGAGAAATGTGACGTCACATCAAAATGTGCAACTTTAAATAAATATAGACAACACGTTATACTTAATAAAATAAACTTTTTAATAAATGTTTTCTCCTACAAACATCAGAGTGCAGCGCCACATTAAATACGCACTACAATGACAATAGTTTAATAGTTTAAATGCTCGGTGTAGTCGGCACTTTGCTTCGTTCATCATTTCGTAAATTTTTTTTTTACTTTGCTTCATGTAAACCCCCACCTCTCTCCCCTCCCTTCCTCCCCTCCCTCCCCCTCCCTCCCCCTCCCTCCCCCTCCCTCCCCTCCCTCCCACCCTCCCCTCCCTCCCCTCCCACCCTCCCCTCCCTCCCTCCCACCCTCCCCTCCCTCCCACCCTCCCCTCCCTCCCCTCCCACCCTCCCCTCCCCCTCCCTCCCACCCTCCCTCCCTCCCCTCCCACCCTCCCCTCCCTCCTTCCCTCCCTCCCTCCCTCCCTCCCCTCCCTCCCACCCTCCCCTCCCTCCCCTCCCACCCTCCCCTCCGTCCCACCCTCCCCTCCCTCCCCTCCCACCCTCCCCTCCCTCCCTCCCTCCTCTCCCTCCCACCCTCCCCTCCCTCCCCTCCCACCCTCCCCTCCCTCCCCTCCCTCCCTCCCTCCCCTCCCTCCCACCCTCCCCTCCCCTCCCTCCCACCCTCCCCTCCCTCCCCTCCCACCCTCCCCTCCCCCTCCCTCCCACCCCTCTCTTCCTCCCCTCCCTCCCTCCCACCCTCCCCTCCCCTCCCTCCCACCCTCCCCTCCCTCCCCTCCCTCCCACCCTCCCCTCCCTCCCACCCTCCCCTCCCTCCCTCCCCTCCCTCCCTCCCTCCCTCCCCTCCCTCCCCTCCCTCCCACCCTCCCCTCCCCTCCCTCCCACCCTCCCCTTCCTCCCCTCCCTCCCACCCTCCCCTCCCCTCCCTCCCACCCCTCTCTCCCTCCCCTCCCTCCCCCTGCCTCCCACCCCTCCCTCCCACAGATGTGGACGAGTGCGCTGTGGCTAACGGGGGCTGTTTGGGCTTCTGCGTGAACGCCCCCGGCAGCTTCGCGTGCCGCTGTGGGACGGGGTTCACCCTCCAGCCCGACCAGCGCTCGTGCCACGGTGACAGGCTCTCTCCACTGCTGCCTGCACTGATGTCTCCACTGCTCTCTCCACTGCTGCCTGCACTGTTACCTGCACTGCTGCCTCCACTGTTGCCTGCACTGCTACCTCCACTGCTACCTGCACTGCTGTCTCCACTGATACCTGCACTGCTACCTCCACTGCTACCTGCACTGCTGCCTCCACTGCCACCTCCACTGATACCTGCACTGCTGCCTCCACTGCTGCCTCCACTGCCACCTCCACTGATACCTGCACTGCTACCTCCACTGCTACCTGCACTGATACCTCCACTGCTGCCTCCACTGCTGCCTCCACTGCCACCTCCACTGATACCTGCACTGCTACCTCCACTGCTACCTGCACTGCTGCCTCCACTGCTGCCTCCACTGCCACCTCCACTGATACCTGCACTGCTACCTCCACTGCTACCTGCACTGATACCTCCACTGCTGCCTCCACTGCTGCCTCCACTGCCACCTCCACTGATACCTGCACTGCTACCTCCACTGCTACCTGCACTGCTGCCTCCACTGCCACATCCACTGCTACCTGCACTGATACCTCCACTGCTGCCTCCACTGCCACCTCCACTGATACCTGCACTGCTGCCTCCACTGCTACCTCCACTGCTACCTCCACTGCTACCTCCACTGCTACCTCCACTGCTACCTCCACTGCTACCTCCACTGCCACCTCCACTGCTACCTCCACTGCTACCTCCACTGCTACCTCCACTGCCACCTCCACTGATACCTCCACTGCTACCTCCACTGCTACCTCCACTGCTACCTCCACTGCCACCTCCACTGCTACCTCCACTGCTACCTCCACTGCTGCCTCCACTGCTACCTCCACTGCTACCTCCACTGCTACCTCCACTGCTACCTCCACTGCTACCTCCACTGCTACCTCCACTGCCACCTCCACTGATACCTCCACTGCTACCTCCACTGCTACCTCCACTGCCACCTCCACTGCTACCTCCACTGCTACCTCCACTGATGTCTCCACTGCTACCTGCACTGATACCTGCACTGCTATAGACTCACAGACTCACACAGAGACCCATAGACTCACACAGAGACCCATAGACTCACACAGAGACACACAGACTCACACAGAGACGCACAGACTCACACAGACCCACAGACTCACACAGAGACCCATAGACTCACACAGAGACCCATAGACTCACACAGAGACACACAGACTCACACAGAGACCCATAGACTCACACAGAGACCCACAGACTCACACAGAGACCCACAGACTCACACAGAGACCCACAGACTCACACAGAGACCCACAGACTCACACAGAGACCCACAGACTCACATAGAGACCCACAGACTCACACAGAGACCCATAGACTCACACAGAGACCCACAGACTCACATAGAGACACACAGACTCACACAGACCCACAGACTCACACAGAGACCCATAGACTCACACAGAGACCCATAGACTCACACAGAGACACACAGACTCACACAGAGACCCATAGACTCACACAGAGACCCACAGACTCACACAGACACCCGCAGACTCACACAGAGACCCACAGACTCACACAGAGATCCACAGACTCACAGAGACTCACAGACTCACACAGAGACCCACAGACTAACACAGAGACCCATATCCTCACACAGAGACCCACAGACTCACACAGAGACCACAGACTCACACAGAGACCCACAGACTCACACAGAGACCCACAGACTCACATAGAGACCCACAGACTCACACAGAGACCCACAGACTCACAGAGACTCACAGACTCACACAGAGACCCACAGACTAACACAGAGACCCATATCCTCACACAGAGACCCACAGACTCACACAGAGACCACAGACTCACACAGAGACCATAGACTCACACATTTGCAAATGCGATGCATAACTTTGACCACTGCCCGTGCGATGTCGATAGTTCAATGTCAATGCCCCATTGCATCCAGGGACCACTGCTACTTTGTGGCGTGAATCTTGGTGTGGTCAGAGGACTGCTCTTCCTTGGGGGCCGTCCATAAATGACGTCACGCACTTAGGGGGGGGGGGTTAGACATTTGTGACGATGTGTGACGAGGGGGGGGGGGTGGTTGAGAAATGTGACGTCACAGCAAAATGCGCAACTTTAAATGAATATAGACAACACGTTCTACTTAATTAAATATACTTTTTAATAAATGTTTTCTCCTACAACATCAGAGTGCAGCGCCACATTAAATACGCACTACAATGACAATAGTTTAAAGCGATTTGAAGCATGTTTTATTTTACAAATAGAAAATGTGTTTTTTTTGGGGGGGGGGCAGAGCTTTGTGACGTCATATTTGAGGGGGGGGGGTCTGACTTTTCGTGACGCCGTGTGACGAGGGGGGGGGGGTGTAAAAATTGTCTAAAATCGCGTGACGTCATTTATGTACGGCCTTTTGGCCAATCTTCATGAATCGGACTGATAGAATTGATGTTTGTATCAGTGACACTGATCAGAACCGGTCCTGGGCCTCCCCTAAGTCTTAGCCTCAAACATCGTCACCGGGGAGACAAAGGCGGCCGGGCGTGGTGCTGGCCACCCACCCCCTCGTGTACCGTTCCGGCCTTCATAGGTGCTCGCTAACAGCACTTGCCCCTACAGTCTGTTAAGGCTATATGGGAGATCTTTGTCTGTGTGTGTGTGTGTCTGTGTGTGTGTGTCTGTGTGTCTGTGTCTGTCTGTGTGTGTGTCTGTGTGTCTGTGTGTGTCTGTGTGCCTGTGTGTGTGTCTGTGTGTGTCTGTGTGTCTGTGTGTGTAGATGTGTATCTGAACCGGTCCTGGGCCTCCCCTAGGTCGACTCAGCCTTAAATGAATACCTGGTGCGGTGTGTAGTAAACATCGCCACTGGGGGAGACAAAGGCGGTCGGGCGTGGTGCTGGCCACCCACCCCCTCGTGTGCCGTGCCGGCCTTCATAGGTGCTCGCTAACAGCACTTGCCCCTACAGTCTGTTAAGGCTACACGGGGGATCTTTGTCTGTGTAGATGTGGACGAGTGCTCGCTGCAGCTGGTCACGTGTGAGCACTTCTGCTCCAACCTGCCGGGCGGCTTCCTCTGCTCCTGCCGCACGGGGTTTGCGCTCTACGGACTCACGCACTGCGGAGGTACAGCCGCCAAGCACAGCATCCATCACAACATAGCATCCATCACATCATAGCATCCATCATAGCATCCATCATAGCATCACAACATAGCATCCATCATAGCATCCATCACATCATAGCATCCATCATAGCATCCATCATAGCATCCATCATAGCATCACAACATAGCATCCATCATAGCATCCATCACAACATAGCATCCATCACAACATAGCATCCATCGCAACATAGCATCCATCACAACATAGCATCCATCATAGCATCCATCATAGCATCCATCACAACACAGCATCCATCATAGCATCCATCATAGCATCCATCATAGCATCCATCACAACATAGCATCCATCACAACATAGCATCCATCACAACGTAGCATCCATCACATCATAGCATCCATCACAACACAGCATCCATCACAACGTAGCATCCATCACATCATAGCATCCATCACAACATAGCATCCATCACATCATAGCATCCATCACATCATAGCATCCATCACAACATAGCATCCATCATAGCATAGCATCCATCACATCATAGCATCCATCACATCATAGCATCCATCACAACGTAGCATCCATCACATCATAGCATCCATCACAACATAGCATCCATCACATCATAGCATCCATCACATCATAGCATCCATCACATCATAGCATCCATCACATCATAGCATCCATCACAACATAGCATCCATCACAACATAGCATCCATCACAACATAGCATCCATCACATCATAGCATCCATCACATCATAGCATCCATCACAACATAGCATCCATCACATCATAGCATCCATCACATCATAGCATCCATCACATCATAGCATCCATCATAGCATCCATCATAGCATCCATCACAACATAGCATCCATCACAACATAGCATCCATCACAACGTAGCATCCATCACATCATAGCATCCATCACAACACAGCATCCATCACAACGTAGCATCCATCACATCATAGCATCCATCACAACATAGCATCCATCACATCATAGCATCCATCACATCATAGCATCCATCACAACATAGCATCCATCATAGCATAGCATCCATCACATCATAGCATCCATCACATCATAGCATCCATCACAACGTAGCATCCATCACATCATAGCATCCATCACAACATAGCATCCATCACATCATAGCATCCATCACATCATAGCATCCATCACATCATAGCATCCATCACAACATAGCATCCATCACATCATAGCATCCATCACATCATAGCATCCATCACAACATAGCATCCATCACATCATAGCATCCATCACATCATAGCATCCATCACATCATAGCATCCATCACAACACAGCATCCATCACAACGTAGCATCCATCACATCATAGCATCCATCACAACATAGCATCCATCACATCATAGCATCCATCACATCATAGCATCCATCATAGCATCCATCATAGCATCCATCATAGCATACATCACAACATAGCATCCATCATAGCATCCATCATAGCATCCATCACAACATAGCATCCATCGCAACATAGCATCCATCACAACATAGCCTCATAGCATAGCATGGCATGGCAGCAGAGCATCACAGCATGGCAGGGCATAGCATCACAGTATTTCATGGCAGCATAGCCTGGAATAGCATGGCATGGCATCATACATGGAATTGAATCGCACCACGACATGGCATAGCATAGCATGGCATAGCATCACAGCATAGCATGGCAGCATAACATGGCTTGGCATTGCATGGCATAGCATCACAGCATAGCCTCACATAGCACAGACACACGCCGTCACATTGCTTGGCATAGTATAAAGAACCATAGCATCGCATACCATTACACAACATAGCATCATATAGCATCATATAAAACATAGCATCACATAGTATAGAACCGCATAAACCACCACGGCGTCACATAGCATAGCACCACGAAACAGCGTAGCGTGACACAGGTGCTGTGTGTGGTGTGCTGTGTGGTGTGCTGTGTGTGGTGTGCTGTGTGTGGTGTGCTGTGTGTCTGTGTGGTGTGTGGTGTGCTGTGTGGTGTGCTGTGCGGTGTGCTGTGTGTGGGGTGGTGTGCTGTGTGTGGGGTGGTGTCCTGTGTGTGGTGTGGTGTGCTGTGTGTGGTGTGCTGTGTGGTGTGCTGTGTGGTGTGCTGTGTGTGGTGTGCTGTGTGTGGTGTGCTGTGTGTCTGTGTGGTGTGTGGTTTGCTGTGTGGTGTGCTGTGCGGTGTGCTGTGTGTGATGTGTGTGGTGTGGTGTGCTGTGTGGTGTGCTGTGTGTCTGTGTGTTGTGTGGTGTGCTGTGTGTGGTGTGGTGTGTGTGGTGTGGTGTGCTGTGTGTGGTGTGCTATGTGTGGTGTGGTGTGCTGTGTGTGGTGTGGTGTGCTGTGTGGTGTGGTGTGCTGTGTGTGGTGTGGTGTGTGTGGTGTGGTGTGCTGTGTGTGGTGTGGTGTGCTGTGTGGTGTGCTGTGTGGTGTGCTGTGTGCTGTGTGTGGTGTGCTGTGTGGTGTGCTGTGTGTCTGTGTGTTGTGTGGTGTGCTGTGTGTGGTGTGCTGTGTGTGGTGTGGTGTGCTGTGTGTGGTGTGCTGTGTGTGGTGTGGTGTGCTGTGTGTGGTGTGGTGTGCTGTGTGGTGTGTTGTGTGGTGTGCTGTGTGTGGTGTGGTGTGTGTGGTGTGGTGTGCTGTGTGTGGTGTGGTGTGCTGTGTGGTGTGCTGTGTGGTGTGCTGTGTGCTGTGTGTGGTGTGCTGTGTGGTGTGGTGTGCTGTGTGTGGTGTGCTGTGTGTGGTGTGCTGTGTGGTGTGCTGTGTGCTGTGTGTGGTGTGCTGTGTGTGGTGTGCTGTGTGTGGTGTGCTGTGTGTGCTGTGTGTGGTGTGGTGTGCTGTGTGTGGTGTGGTGTGCTGTGTGTGGTGTTGTGTGTGGTGTGCTGTGTGGTGTGCTGCGTGGTGTTCTGTGTGTGCTGCGTGTAGACGTGGATGAGTGTGCTGTCGAGAAGGGCGGCTGTGCCCACTCGTGCGTGAACAGCCAGGGCAGCTTTGCGTGCGGCTGTCCTCCAGGGATGAGCTTGCACTGGAACCTCAAGGACTGCGTGGGTGAGTCACGGCACAGACACACACAGACACACACACACAGACACACACACACAGACACACAGACACACACACAGACACACAGACACACACACAGACACACACACACAGACACACACACACAGACACACACACAGACACACACACAGACACACACACAGACACACACACACCACACAGACACACACACCAACAACCACACAGACACACACACAGACACACACACACCCCCACACAGACACAGAACAACAACAACCGCCATTCGCCACTAAGTAGCGGTGACGTCACCACGACGCTTGTGCCAGGCCATGTGCACCTTGAGGCCACGTGAAGTGTCGAACGCCCGCTGGCAGGAGGTCACGGGGCTAACCCAGCAGGTGCCACGGGTCGACTGACCGAGATGACCGAGATGACTGAGATGACCGAGACGAGTGGCTGATGCACCACCTGTGCCCCCTACTGTGCCAACTTGCTGTGCTTTAGCCACCCGGCGCTCCGCTCGTTGTTGTGAGCGTCGCTCCTCCGCCTTCCGTTGTTGTTGGAGGGCGACTGCCTCCAACTGCTCAGCAGCGTCGTTCACGAGCCTCCTCCACTAGAGGCCGATCTTGACACCGCTGGTACCAGTCATCGGCAAGTCCACTCAGCTCCACGTCCTCCTGCACCACATCACTCCATCTCTTCTCTAGCCCGTGCCGTGCCCGTTTAGCCCCCTCGATCCGGCCGAACAAAACCTGTTTATGGCATGCGGTGGCTGGGCATGCGGGCTACATGACCCAGCCAACGCAGCCTTGCCTGCCGGAGGAGCTCACCGATGGGACTTTGACCAGATCTTTCAAGGATTTGTGAGCTCCTCACACAATCCAGCCTGCAGGTTAAACCCAGGATGGATCGTAGGCAGGCCAGCCTAAATGTTTCCAACCGGCGAAGATGCTCCATTAGGGGGGTCCACATTTCGCAAGCGTAGAGAAGGGACACACACACACAGACACACAGACACACACACCAACAACCACACACACACCAACAACCACACTGACACACTGACACACAGACACACAGACACACACACCAACAACCACACTGACACACAGACACACACACACACAGACACACACACCAACAACCACACTGACAGACTGACACACAGACACACACCGCGCAGACACACACACCAACAACCACACAGACACACACACACACACACCAACAACCACACACACACAGACACACACACCAACAACCACACAGACGATACTATCTCTGTGATCCGCCACATAGTGGTGAACGGCGGTTGTTGTTATTGTTGTTGTTACTGTTGTTATTGTTGTTGTTATTGTTATTGTTGTTGTTATTGTTGTTGTTACTGTTGTTATTGTTTTTGTTACTGTTGTTGTTATTGTTGTTGTTATTGTTGCTGTTGTTATTGTTGTTGTTACTATTGTTGTTGTTGTTGTTACTATTGTTGTTGTAATTGTTGTTGTTATTGTCTCGATTCACAGACTCGTGCGCACGGAGAGCCGTGCGCACGTCTGTGACGTCAAACCCTCGGCCTCTCCTCCACTCGTCGTCTGGTCAGCACCTCCACCCAGCGTGCTCCACTGCAGGTGATGATGGTGGTGGTGGTGGTGAGGATGGTGGTGATTGTGGTCATGGTGGTGGTGGTGAGGATGATGGTGGTGATTGTTGTCATGGTGATGATGATGGTGGTGATTGTGGTCATGGTGATGAGGATGGTGGTGATTGTGGTCATGGTGATGAGGATGGTGGTGATTGTGGTGGTCATGGTGATGATGGTGGTGATTGTGGCGTGCTCCACTGCAGGTGATGATGGAGGTGGTGGTGATGAGGATGGTGGTGATTGTGGTCATGGTGATGATGATGGTGGTGGTGGTGAGGATGATGGTGGTGATTGTGGCGTGCTTCACTGCAGGTGATGCCGGAGGTGGTGGTGGTGAAGATGGTGGTGATTGTGGTCATGGTGATGATGATGGTGGTGGTGGTGAGGATGATGGTGGTGATTGTGGTCATGGTGATGATGGTGGTGATGATGATGGTGGTGGTGGTGAAGATGATGGTGGTGATTGTGGTCATGGTGATGATGGTGGTGGTGATGATGGTGGTGGTGAAGATGATGGTGGTGATTATGGTCATGGTGATGATGGTGGTGGTGATGATGGTGGTGATGGTGGTGAAGATGATGGTGGTGATTGCGGTCATGGTGATGATGGTGGTGGTGAAGATGATGGTGGTGATTGTGGCGTGCTCCACTGCAGGTGATGCTGGAGGTGGCCGCGGTGGTTGTGGTGGTGGTGGTGGTGGTTGTGGTGGTGATGATGATGGTCGTGGTGGTTGTGGTGGTGAGGATGGTGGTGATTGTGGTCGTGGTGATGATGATGATGGTGATGATGATGATGGTGGTGGTCGTGGTGATGATGATGGTGATGATGGTGGTGGTGGTGGTGATGAAGATTATGGTGGTGATTGTGGTGATGATGGTGGTGGTGGTGGTGATGATGATGGTGGTGATTGTGGTAATGATGATGGTAGTGGCGGTGATGATGATGGTGGTGGTGATTGTGATTGTGATTGTGGTGGTGATGATGGTGATGATGATGGTGGTGGTGATGATGCTGGTGATTGTGGTGATGATGGTGGTGTTGTTGATGATGATGGTGGTGGTGATGAAGATGATGATGGTGGTGGTGGTGATGATGATGGTGGTGGTGATGATGATGATGCTGGTGTTGGTGATGATGATGCTGGTGTTGGTGATGATGATGCTGGTGATTGTAATCATGGTGGTGATGATGACGCTGGTGACCACGACGACAATCTCTGACAGCCAGCTGCGTCGTGGTGTCGCATCGCGAGGGACACCACGGAGAGGCCTGCGTGCTGTGCCCAGCCGTCGCGAGCCACCCCGGCCAGCCTCTCGACGGCTCCGACTGCGGCGGTGAGTAGCGACCAAGCAAACTCACAAGGCGTCAACTACGGCGAACAAACACAATCGCAACAATCCCTGACAGTGTATCTCAAATTTCGATTTAAAGCTTTCGTGACTGCAGGGATTCATCTTCTTGGATCTTTCGGTAAAGTCACGTAGAATGGAAATAATAAAATGAGAAAAAATAAACCATCGTAAAATTTTCACGACGTTTCGGCCACAACGCAAGCAGTGAGAGACTGAGTGCGTGAGAGTGAGAGAGAGAGTGAGAGAGAGACTGAGAGAGTGGGTGGTTGGGTGAGTGAGTAAGAGAGTGAGTAAGAGTGAGAGAGTGAGAGCGTGAGTGAGTGAGTGAGAGAGTGAGAGAGTGAGTGAGAGAGTGAGTGAGAGAGTGAGAGAGTGAGTGAGTGAGTGAGAGAGTGAGAGAGTGGGTGGGTGGGTGAGTGAGTAAGAGAGTGAGTAAGAGTGAGAGAGTGAGTGAGAGAGTGAGAGAGTGAGTGAGTGAGAGAGTGAGAGAGTGAGAGAGAGTGAGAAAGTGAGTGAGTGAGAGAGTAAAAGAGAGAGTGAGTGAGAGAGTGAGAGAGTGAGTGAGTGAGAGAGTGAGAGAGTGAGAGAGTGAGTGAGTGAGAGAGTGAGAGAGTGAGTGAGAGAGTGAGAGAGTGAGTGAGAGAGTGAGAGAGTGAGTGAGAGAGTGAGTGAGAGAGTGCGAGAGTGAGTGAGTGAGAGTAAGAGAGAGTGAGTGTGAGAGTGAGTGAGTAAGAGAGAGTGAGTGAGCCAGTCAAACACAGAACACGCAAGGCTCACGATCTCAAATTTCGATTTAAAGCTTTCGTGACTGCAGGGATTCATCTTCTTGGTTCTTTCGGTAAAGTCACGTAGAATTGAAATAATAAAATAATAAAAATAAAACATAATAAAATAATTCTCACGACGTTTCGGCCACAACGCAAGCAGCCGTCCTCAGGTGGAGAACAGGTCTGTCGAACGGCTACTTGCGTTGTGGCCGAAACGTCGTGAGAATTATTTGATAATGTTTTATTTTTATTATTTTATTATTTAAATTCTACGTGGCTCACGATCTTGTCCGCAACCGCGGCGCGTGCCTTGCCCGCAGTGCCGTGCCCCGCGGGCTCCGTGTCCCCGGACGGGTTCGAGCCCTGCTCCGCGTGCCCCCGGGGCTCCCACCAGAGGGAGGCGGGGCGCGTGACGTGCGCGCCGTGCGGGGGGCGCGCGCGGAGAGCGAGAGGCGCACGGCTCGGGGACTGCGACGCACGCGGTGAGTCGGGGGTGGGGGGGAGGGGGGGGGGCGAGGGAGAGGGGGTGAGGGGGGTCGGCGAGGGAGGGGGACAGAGGGGGCGAGAGATGGGGGGTGAGGGAGGGGGGTGATGGGGGGTGAGGGGGGGGGCGAGGGAGAGGGGGTGATGGGGGGGGGGTGAGGGAGGGGGAGGGAGAGGGGGCAGAGGGAGGGGGGCAGAGGGAGGGGGGGCGAGAGATGGGGGGGTGAGGGAGAGGAGGCAGAGGGAGTAGGGGAGGCGAGGGGGGCAGAGGAAGGGGGGGCAAGGGAGGGGGGCAGAGGGAGGGGGGGGCGAGGGATGGGGGGCGAGGGAGGGGGGGGGCGAGGGAGGGGGGGGGCGAGGGAGGGGGGGGCGAGGGAGGGGGGGGGGCGAGGGAGGGGGGGGGGCGAGGGAGGGGGGCCGAGGGAGGGGGGCCGAGGGAGGGAGGTGGTGCCGACTTAGGTGGGACCGAGGGAGGGGGGGGGGCGAGGGAGGGGGGTGCTAACCCACGTGACTAGGAGATTGTTCAATTGCCTGGGCAGGTAGCTACTAACAATAGTTGCCACGTGTCTGTAATGCGCCTGCCACTGATGTGTCAGGGCGCCTTGTGAGATTGAGGTTAACGAGAAGGCCGAGAGTTAAGGGGGAGCTGCATAGAATATACGAACTTAAGAAAATGCGTTTTTTTAAAAATCCTTTATATTAAGTTCACTTGCTTGCTTGCTTGCGCGCTTACGACCGTGCAAATCTTTCGGTCGTTTTTTAACCCACTTCCCGTGATCCAATCGAGCTGACATTTTGCACACAGACTCGTTGAACGTGACAATTTATTTTCGTTAATAATTTTTTCCAAAATTTTACACTTTTTAGGGGAAAAAAAGAGATTTAATTACCAATTGCTTAATGGTGGCAGGCAATCATCTGACCCATAGGTGGCAGCCATCTCAAGCCAGAGGACGAGAGGACTCTAGCCGCCACGCATATAAAGGATTTATAGTGAAAAACTTTGTTTTTACGGGTTAATTTTTATTGTTTAGACGCCGCTGAAAAGTACCCACAGTGTCTCATGAAACGAAGTTCCAGCGGTAGGGAAATTCCACGTCGCAGGCGCAGACACAATGAAATGCCCGCTCGCCCCCAGGAACGCAGCCAATAGGTTTATCGTCACCGCACGTGGTGGTGGTCGGACACAATAAGAACACATGGAGGAGGGTCGTTGCCCGAAACGTCGCCTATTATGTTTTGTTTTATTCAGGGGACACACACACACACACGCACGCACGCGGTGGCGGCGGTGTTGTTATTGACGAACGTGGCAACTTCGGGACGCCACGGTGGCTATGAGATGTTAACTACCTCGCCTGGTGTATTAATTTTAAATTTTTTACCTACGTGACTTTACCGAAAAAACCTAAGAATATGAATCATTGCGGTCACGAAAGCTTCAAATCTAGAATATAAGGGGGATCTTTGCCTTTTTTTCTGCAGTTCTCTGCCCACCCGGCCACTACTATGAGCAGTCAACAACATTATCATCATCGTCGTCGTCAACATCATCATCATCATCGTCGTCATCATCATCATCGTCGTCGTCCATGCACTGCCACCGCTGCCCTCGGGGCTCCTACCAGGCGAGCTCGGGGCAGCGGTGGTGCTTCCCATGCCCCCAGGGCAGCACCACGGACAGCGATGGCGCTACCAGCCTCACGCAGTGCAAAGGTACAGACAAATCTTCTTGGTTCTTTCGGTAAAGTCACGTAGAAGGGAAGTAATAAAATAATAAAAATAAAACATAATGAAATAATTCTCACGACGTTTCGGCTGCTTGCGTTGTAGCCGAAACGTCGTGAGAATTATTTTATTTTATTATGTTTTATTTTTATTATTGTATTACTTCCCTTCTACGTGACTTTACCGAAAGAACCAAGAAGATGAATCCCTGCAGTCACGAAAGCTTTGAATCGAAAGGTACAGACAGATGTTAGACACCCAGCGCCCAGCTGAGGTCAATGATGCCGGTAACTGATGATGGTGGTGATGTTGTTGTTATTGTTGCTGATGATGATGGTATGATGGTGGTGATGTTGTTATTGCTGCTGATGATGGTGATGATACTCTTTGGTTCTTTCGGTAAAGTCATCATCACGGTGGCTATGAGATGTTAACTACCTCGCCTAGTACACAGGAGGTCGTGGGTTTGATCCCGACCCTGACGCCTGATGTATATTTTGAGTCTGCGTGTCTCTCTTTCAGTAAAGTCACGTAGGTAAAAAATTAAAATTAATAAAAGTAAAATAAAAATAAAATAAAAATCACGACGTTTCGGATGCAACGCAAGCTTCCGTCTTCAGGTGGAACCGTCACAGCACTACAGCTGTATCAAGTGAAAAGTAAAATAAAAGTAAAATAAAAATAAAATAAAAATCACACTTGATACAGCTATCGTGCTGTGACGGTTCCACCTGAAGACGGAAGCTTGCGTTGCATCCGAAACGTCGTGATTTTTATTTTACTTTTATTAATTTAAATTTTTTACCTACGTGACTTTACCGAAAAAACCTAAGAATAATTACAATCAGCTTCATCGGGAAAGAATGGCGAAGCTCTCCTGTTGCTACATTACGAATAATATTGGTCGCGAAAGCCATAGTGTTAAATTATACACATCAGTGTGTTCAAAGTTCAAGTTTCATGTATTAGGTATAGCCCTGTGAGCCATTCGGCTCTTGAATCGGGTGCAACCGCAACAAACAAAAAACACGAACAAAAAAATCTTAATTTGGAGCTTTCGTGACTGCAGGAATTACTCTTTGATTCTTTCGGTAAAGTGACGTATAAAGATAAAATAATAAATTAAATAATAGCATACGACGTTTCGATCGCAACACAAGCAATCGTCATCAGGTATAAATGAAATAGCAACAAAATCTAACCGGAAAACTATAGACAGACATATACGCAGACAGATATCACCAACAAAAAACATCTTAAAGTGAATATGTGACTAAGTCCAAACAGAAATCCAAGAAAAGACAGCAAAACACTGCAGAAAAAAATCACCGTACACCAACGCGTTAAGCGAGGACTTTCCCTGTACCGTGAACGGAGTGATCTTAATCCTCGGGGGGGTGGTGGTGTGGGGTGGTGGTCAAGGTTCCCGCTGCGGCGGGGATCTGGGGGACTTGGTGGGCGAGTTGGAGAGCCCCAACTACCCCGGGAACTTAAAGTGAATATGCGACTAAGTGCAAACAGAAATCCAAGAAAAGACAGCAAACGCTGCAGAAAAAAAAAATCACCGTACACAAACGCGTTAAGCGAGGACTTGCCCGGTACCGTGAACGGAGTGATCTTAATCCTCGGGGGGGGTGTGGTGGTCAAGGTTCCCGTTGTGGCGGGGATCTAGGGGACTTGGTGGGCGAGTTGGAGAGCCCCAACTACCCCGGGAGCTTAAAGTGAATATGCGACTAAGTCCAAACAGAAATCCAAGAAAAGACAGCAAAACACTTCAGAAAAAAATCACCGTACACCAACGCGTTAAGCGAGGACTTGCCCCGTACCGCGAGCGGATTGATCTTAATCCTCGGGGGTGGGTGGCGGTCAAGGTTCCCGCTGTGGCGGGGATCTAGGGGACTTGGTGGGCGAGCTGGAGAGCCCCAACTACCCCGGGAGCTACCCCGTGCCGACCACATGTCACTGGCTCGTCACCGCTCCACCGCGTCACCGCCTCCTGCTGCTGCTGCCGGGGGCGGAGCTACGACCCGGTGACGTCGCTTGCACCGACCGCCTGTCAATCAAGTCCAGCCGTGAGTTCGTGCACCGTGCACCGTGCAATGCGCAGTGCAATGTGCATTGGACAGTGTGGTGTGCAATGTACAGTGTGGTGTGCAATGTACAGTTCGCAGTGCAATGGACAGTGTGGCGTGCAATGCACAGTGCGCAGTGCAATGTGCAGTGCGCAGTGCAATGGACAGTGTGGCGTGCAATGTACAGTGACGTGTGCAATGGACAGTGTGGCGTGCAATGTGCAGTGCGCAGTGCAATGGACAGTGTGGCGTGCAATGTACAGTGCTGCGTGCAATGGACAGTGTGTCGTGCAATGTACAGTGCGCAGTGCGATGCACAGTGCGCAGTGCGATGCACAGTGCACAGTGTGATGTACAGTGTGGTGTGTTGTGCGTCACGCCGCAAAATGTACAGTGCGGTTCCCCATGTACAGTGTGATGTGCTGTACAACGCACGATGTGCTGTGCGGCGTACAGTGTGCTGTGCAACACACTGTACAATCTAGAGTAGAGGTTTCCCCTCGCTTTGTGCGGTGGTGGTGGTCGTAGTAGTAGAAGTAGTAGTAGAAGTAGTAGTAGAAGTAGTAGTAGAAGTAGTAGTAGAAGTAGTAGTAGAAGTAGTAGTAGATGCGTTCCAAAATAAGGTGCGCACAAAGCCAAACCACACGAGGCGACAGCTGCTTGCCGAGTAGCGCCCTCAACACACACACACACACAGTGCGTACAACGCAAACACAGTACACACAGTACGCACACCTTGAGTGAATTCAAACCACACACGCATCGATCACTTTTGGTTGAAAAAAGTTAGCCGCCGCATATACAGTGCGGAAATCGTACGAGCGTACTTATTTCAGGTCATTGATTCATTATCCGCGAATAACGAGGGAACGCTGCAATTTACACATGCGTGAAATTAGCTTTTCACGCGCATCACCGGAACGCATCCCTCGCGAGTAACGAGGGGACGCTGCAATTTACACGCTCATGAAATTAGCTTTTCACGCGCATCACCGGAACGCATCCTTCGCGAGTAACGAGGTAACACTGCAATTTACACGCTCATGAAATTAGCTTTTCACGCGCATCACCGGCACGTATCCTTCGCGAGTAACGAGGGGATGCTGCAATTTACACGTTCGTGAAATTAGCTTTTCACGCGCATCACCGGAACGTTTCCCTCGCGAGTAACGAGGTAACGCTGCAATTTACACGCTCGTGAAATTAGCTTTTCACGCGCATCATCGGAACATATCCCTCGCGAGTAACGAGGGGGACGCTGTAATGTACACGCTCATGAAATTAGCTTTTCACGCGCATCATCGGAACGTATCCCTCGCGAATAACGAGGGGGACGCTGTAATGTACACGCTCATGAAATTCGCTTTTCACGCGCATCACCGGAATGTATCCTTCGCGAGTAACGAGGGGGACGCTGTAATGTATACGCTCATGAAATTAGCTTTTCATGCGCATCAGCGGAACGTAACGAGGGGGACGCTGTAGTGTCACCGCAGAGCCGCGTGTGGCTGGAGCTGTGCTCGTCGCGCGCGCGACCCCTGGTGCTCAACGTCCCGGCGCGGCGAGTTTGGGTCGACTTCACCTCCGGCTCAACAGGCACCGAGGCAGCAGAGGCGGAGGGCGCGACAGCGGCGGGCTTCCACGTGGACTACGTGGCCTACCACGGTACACAAAGACATATCGCCCGTGTAGAGACTGCACAACACATTGAGACTTTTAGCGAGTTGCAGCACCGATGAAGGCCGGCACCACGGCCCGGCCACCTTTTGCTCCCCAGTGGCGATGTTTACTACACACCGCACCTAATACTCACTTAAGGCCGAGTCGACCTAGGGGAGGCCAAGGACCGGTTCAGATAACCGTCACCGGTGTTGGCCGTGAGCAGGAATTGAACTCGAGTTGTGGGTATTCATATTCTTAGGTTTTTTCGGTAAAGTCACGTAGGTAAAATTAAAATTAATAAAAGTAAAATAACAATAAAATAAAATCCACCTGAAGATGGAAGCTTGTGTTGCCTCCGAAACGTCGTGGTTTTTATTTTATTTTTATTTTACTTTTATTAATTTTAATTTTACCTACGTGACTTTACTGAAAAAACCTAAGAATTTGAATCCTTGCAGTCACGAAAGCTTCAAATCTAGAACCGAGTTGTGGGGTTGGTGGCGCGATGCTCTAACCACTCCAAAGACAAAGATCTCCCCCCAGGGTTCGTAGCGCAGCACGCTAACCACTGCGCTACCCACAGTGGTACATACATAGCACGGTACGCACAGTGGTAACTCATGGTAAATGTCATGGTGAACGCTCTGGCCCTACAGAGGAGTATGAAGACCTTATCCAGGACATCATCAGCGATGGTCATCTCTACTCCTTCGAGTCTCATCAACAGGTGCTCAAGGTCAGTCCATCTCCTTGTCTACGAGATGTCTACGTTTTTTACAAATCGTCTACGTTTTGCCTTGAGGCGGAGACTGCATTCGAAATTCTATAGCGATAATGAAATAATGATTTAAAGCTTTCATGACTGCAGGGATTCATATTCTTGGATCTTTCGGTAAAGTCACGTAGAAGGGAAACAACAAAATAATACAAATATAAAACAATAAAATGCTCACGACGTTTCGATTGCAACACAAGCAATCATCATCAGGTGTGAAAACCACAGCAAGAAAATTTGAAACAAGTAAACCCGTAAAAACAAAGTTTATCACTATAAATCTTTTATATGCGTGGAATCGGGGCGGCTAGAGTCCTCTCGTCTTCTGGCTTGAGATGGCTGCCACCTATGGGTCAGATGATTGTCTTGCAGAATTAAACAATTGGTAATTAAATATGTAATTTTTTTTCCCTAAGCAGTGTAAAATTTTGGAAAAAATTTTTTCACGATAATGCATTGTCACGCACAACGAGTCTGTGTGCAAAATGTCAGCTCGATTGGATCACGGAAAGTTGGTTAAAAAACGACCGAAAGATTTGCACGGTCCTAAGCAAGCAAGCATGCGAACTTAATATAAAGGATTTAAAAAGTGGCGTTTTTTTCTTAACGTCAGGACCACGGACAGCGACTTGGGTTTGTTGTGTGGGCTTGTGTTTTTCAAGGTGTGTGTGGCCACTGTGTTCCGCGGTGAGACTCGTCCAGAGCCGAGGTGATTTGGAGTGAGGGATTGCGTGATCTGTGGGTCGTGGTGGGGGCTGTAGCTTAGGGGGGAGGGGTGGTATACATGCGCAGTAGTTGGGGCAGTGATTTTCCGATATTGTGGCCAAGCTTAGATCATCGGCCTCATCATTTGTCTGCGAAAGACCCCAATCGGAAACCTGGGCGCGACGGCGTTCATCAGATGCGTCTCTTTAAGCCATCGACGCGTGTCGTCATGGTTGATTATCATTGATTTTCACAAAACAAATCTCTCTCTTTCTTTCTTGTCCTTCCTCCCCCTCTCCGTCATTTCGTTCTCAGAACAAGAAGCTGGTTAAGACCCTCTTCGAAGTCCTGGCGAATCCTCACAGCTACTTCAAGTCCACGTCTCAGCACGCCAAGAATCTATTTCCAAAGTCCTTTCTGCGCTTTCTAAAATCAAAGATCTCGCGATACCTCCACCCCTTATAAGTAAGGCGCGGCAGCTGAGCGGACGCCCGGAGCGCGACGTCCATTTTTTAATTTTTCCACTGGCACAACCGATCCGTGCCGGTGCCGGCCCCACGACTGGCGAGTTGTTTTTTTCTTTTTCCACTAGCACAACCGATCCGTGCCGATGTCGGCCTCCTGGCTGGCGAGTCGTTTTTTAATTTTTCCACTGGCACAACCGATCCGTGCCGGTGCCGGCCCCACTGTTGGCGAGTCGTTTTTAAACTTTTTCCACTGGCACAACCGATCCGTGCCGGTGCCGGCCCCCTGGCTGGCGAGTCGTTTTTAAATTTTTCCACTGGCACAACCGATCCGTGCCAGTGCCAGTGCCGGACCACGGCTGGCGAGTCGTGTTTTTATTTTTCTACTGGCACAACCGATCCGTGCCGGTGCCGGCCCCCCGGTTGGCGAGTCGTTTTTTTATTTTTTCCACTGGCAGAACCGAGTCGTGCCGATGCCGCCCCCCCGGTTGGCGAGTCGTTTTTTTATTTTTCCACTGGCACAACCAAGTCGTGCCGATGCCGGCCCCCGGCTGGCGAGTCGTTTTTTTATTTTTCCACTGGCACAACCGATCCGTGCCGGTGCCGGCCCCCGGCTGGCGAGTCGTTTTTTTATTTTTTTCCACTGGCACAACCGATCCGTGCCGGTGCCGCCCCCCCGGTTGGCGAGTCGTTTTTAAATTTTTCCACTGGCACAATCAAGTCGTGCCGATGCCGGCCCACGGCTGGCGGGTCTGTTCTTTTTTTCTTTTCCTTTCACCGCAGAAGCCGAGCCACCGACGTCCCACGGCCGAGTTGTCGACACCCGCCCACCGGACGTCGCGTTGGTTCGCGGCGGCGGCGTCGGCGGCCTCTGGCGCCACAGAACTGTCGCTGGGAAAAACAGCGCCCGGAAAAACCAGCGAAGGGCCCAATGACGCCGGCCCCGGCTCTCGGGTGTGGCAGTGGGGAAAACGGTGGCGGGGGGTGGGGGGTAGATGATATAATTTTTTACGAACAATCCTTGGGCCAAATTTGCACGCTCGCTAAACGGTGGCGTCCGCGGATATTTGTTCAGGGCATTAATTCTAGATTTGAAGCTTTCGTGACTGCAAGGATTCATATTCTTAGGTTTTTTCGGTAAAGTCACGTAGGTAAAAAATTTTCAATTAATAAAAGTAAAATAAAACAAAAGAAAAAATTAAAAATCACGACGTTTCGGAGGCAACACAAGCCTCTGTCTTCAGGTGGAACCGTCACAGCCACGACAGCTGTATCAAGTAAATGAGAGATCACAAGAAATACTACCCCGTATATATAAAATTGTTCAGGGCAACGCCGAGTTCTCGACGTTTTTAATTCTGAAGATAAAAATTAGAAATGTGGCTGTCGCCGCCCAGATATTCACAAATGATCGCTGAACGAAGTGGCTTATCGTCATTGTGTGTAAATGTATAGCGGCCGAATACTCTGAATGCACGTTGATTCTGAATGTGGAGGGAAAAACCGGAGGATCCGGAGAAAAATCCACACGACCACAGAGAGAGAGAGACACGCAAACTCCAGATATACAGCAGCAGGCGTCAGGGTCGGGATCGAACCCACGACCACCTGTACACCAGGCGAGGTAGTTAACATCTCCTAGCCACCGTGATGATGATGAGAAACGCAAACTCCAAATATACAGCAGCAGGCTTCAGGGTCGGGATCAGACCCACGACCTCCTGTACACCAGGCCAGGTAGTTAGCATCTCCTAGCCACTGTGGTGATGATGATGATGAGAGAGACGCCGCAAACTCCAAATATACAGCAGCAGGCATCAGGGTCGGGATCAGACCCACGACCTCCTGTACACCAGGCCAGGTAGTTAGCATCTCCTAGCCACTGTGGTGATGATGATGATAAGAGAGACGCTGCAAACTCCAAATATACAGCAGCAGGCATCAGGGTCGGGATCAGACCCACGACCTCCTGTACACCAGGCCAGGTAGTTAGCATCTCCTAGCCACTGTGGTGATGATGATGATGATGAGAGAGACGCCGCAAACTCCAAATATACAGCAGCAGGCATCAGGGTCGGGATCAGACCCACGACCTCCTGTACACCAGGCCAGGTAGTTAGCATCTCCTAGCCACTGTGGTGATGATGATGATGAGAGAGACGCCGCAAACTCCAAATATACAGCAGCAGGTGTCAGGGTTGGGATCGAACCCATAACCTGCTGTATACCAGGCGAGGTAGTTAACATCTCTGAGCCACCGTGATGATGATGAGAGAGACGCCGCAAACTCCAAATATACAGCAGCAGGTGTCAGGGTTGGGATCGAACCCATAACCTGCTGTATACCAGGCGAGGTAGTTAACATCTCTGAGCCACCGTGATGATGATGAGAGAGACGCCGCAAACTCCAAATATACAGCAGCAGGTGTCAGGGTTGGGATCGAACCCACGACCTCCTGTACACCAGGCGAGGTAGTTAACATCTCCTAGCCACCGAGGTGATGATGATGATGAGAGAGACGCCGCAAACTCCAAATATACAGCAGCAGGTGTCAGGGTTGGGATCGAACCCACGACCTCCTGTACACCAGGCGAGGTAGTTAACATCTCCTTGCCACCGTGATGATGATGAGAAACGCAAACTCCAAACATACAGCAGCAGGCGTCAGGATCGGGATCGAACCCACGACCTCCTGTACACCAGGCGAGGTAGTTAACATCTCCTTGCCACCGTGATGATGATGAGAAACGCAAACTCCAAATATACAGCAGCAGGCGTCAGGATCGGGATCGAACCCACGACCTCCTGTACACCAGGCGAGGTAGTTAACATCTCCGAGCCACCGTGATGATGATGAGAGAGAGGCCGCAAACTCCAAATATACAGCAGCAGGCGTCAGGATCGGGATCGAACCCACAACCTCCTGTATACCAGGCGAGGTAGTTAACATCTCGCCAAAGGCGAAACATTTTCTTGGCGTGATTTCCGCCAGCACAGATGCCCGAAGCATCCGCGATAAAAAAAAGTTTAAATTATTCTGCCGCGTTGACAATTTTAGTGTTTCCCTTTGATTCTTTTGTTTATGTACCTCGGTGTTGTTCGAAAGCCCCGTGGGCGAGTTACGGTCGAGAGGGCAGAGGTCACAACCAGGTACCCGATACCCGTTTGCGACCCTGGTGCGGCCGGGTATGGGTACGGGTAGGTCGTGAGTCACTGGTGAGTCACCGTTTGTCACTCATTTCCCAACGTCTTGTCTCTTCTCACAATTCAAGTTCCTAGAATCAACCCACCCGCGCCTGCAACATGGCTTCATCCCAGAAGTCGCAATCGGGTACCCGATACCGGTACCCTACCCGATACCCGGCTACCCGGGTACGGGTAGCCGTTTGCGACCCTGGTGCGGCCGGGTACGGGTACGGATAGGTTGTGAGTCACTGGTGAGTAACTGTTTGTCACTCATTTCCCAACGTCTTGTCTCTTCTCACAATTCAAGTTCCTAGAATCAACCCACCCGCGCCTGCAACATGGCTTCATCCCAGAGGTCGCAATCGGGTACCCGTACCCTACCCGATACCCGGCCGGGTACGGGTAGCCGGGTATCGGGTACGGGTACCCGTTTGCGACCCTGGTGCGGCCAGGTACGGGTAAGGAATCAAAACCCGTTTGCGACCTCTGCGAGAGGGTGGGAATTGTGGTTGGTGGTGGTTGTTGGTGGTGGTTGGTGGTGGTGGTTGGTGGTGGTTGGTGGTGGTGGTGGTTGGTGGTGGTGGTTGGTGGTGGTGGTTGGTGGTGGCACGAGAGTTATCCTGGACGGAACTCAATGATCCACGCGGTTGACATCCAGGCATTTACGCGCCTCCGATTAACACGGTTAGGCTACGTACGGTGCAAAAGTTGTTCAGCATAAGTTTCAGTTTTCAGTTTCATTTGAGGTATAGCCTTGTGAGCCATGCGGCTCTTGACTCGGGTGCAACCGCAACAAACAAAAACATGAACAAGAAACATCTTAAAGTGACAACGCGCAACATAAAAATCCATGAAACAATAGCAAATTCTTCCAGGAAAAACACCGCATTTCAACGCTGTGTGCAAAAATCCCAGTGGGATGCAAGTCAAACAACAACAACCATAAGACAATGTATATTAAAGTTATCAGGCTAACTCTGTACCACAACAAACAAACATGGCTAAACCAAAACGTTTTCAAAATCACCAAAATAACGCTATAAAAACAATGTAACAGTAATGATAGGAACTTGATGCACGCGTACATGCATCGTCAGCAACAGGATCGTCTTCGGCTGCAGCGTTATCGTCGCAGGGTATAATCGTAATTTGTGCTATGTTCTCTTCTTTGTGATGTGACAGAGACTCGTCAGAGTAATGTGGAATGTACAGAAACTGCTGGCTCCTAAATCCGGCTAATCGTGGCTCGCCTGTGACTGCTGATAACAGAAAGCCCCCTGGCAAAATAATGTCATTGTAGACTCGTCGTGCTTTAAGTTAATGCATTCCCTCTTTTATTAAAGAAACATAATGAAACTATACGCGTGTGTGAGTTGTATTTGAAATATATATATACACGTACATTGTCTGATATTTGTAAAAAATCAACGTGCACCTACCATCATGTTATCAGGCCACTACTTTTTTTTATTTTTTATTCACCAGATGAAGGCCCCTCTGAGCGATGTAGTTTTTTTTTCGAAGCGACCCTGGCCACGAGTGATAGCCCCACGAAGTGGTTCATCATCTTCGCGTGGAAAGCTACAGCCGGAGACAAATATTCCAAATGCATCAACGAGGGAGAATACGGAAGAGCCGGAAAAAAAAATCCACGTGGCCACGGGGAGAGAGAGAGACGCAAACTCCAAATATACAGCAGCAGCAGGTGTCAAGGGGTCGGGATTGAACCCGCGACCTCCTGTATACCAGGCGAGGTAGTTAACATCTCCTAGCCACCGTGATGATGATGAGCGAGAGAGACACGCAAACTCCAAATATACAGCAGCAGGCGTCAGGGGTCAGAATCGAACCCACGACCTCCTGTATACCAGGCGAGGTAGTTAACATCTCCTAGCCACCGTGATGATGATGAGAGAGACACGCAAAGTCTAAATATACAACAGGTGTCAGGGGTCGGGATTGAACCCGCGACCTCCTGTATACCAGGCGAGGTAGTTAACATCTCCTAGCCATCGTGATGATGATGAGAGACGCAAACTCCAAATATACAGCAGCAGGCGTCAGGGGTCAGGATCGAACTCACGACCTCCCGTGTACCAGGCGAGGTAGTTAACATCTCTCCAAAAAATGTCGCTCTACGTTCCCATGAAAAACAAACATTCCTTAACACCACCACCACTACCACCACCGTGTGTGTATATGTGGCCTTAATAGAACACCGAATGTGTATGTAAAACAGTCGACGTTTCGGCCAATGACCCTCCTTCAAGCGGGCCTCAGCGGAAGCGCGGTGTGCATTGGTCAACGTCCCCAGGGTATCTCGGCTTCACGCTCGGTGGGGGGGCAGTGCCGGATTATCCTCGTAGCAAAAGTAGCTACATATGCGACTAATCAGTGTCTTATTATCCGAGTGGCCGAAATAGCTACATATGTTGTAGCTACATATGTAGCTACTACACGTGCAGCTACTACACGTGCAGCTAGCTACACGTGTAGTAGCTACTACTACATGTGTAGTACACCAGGCGAGCTAGTTAACATATCCAAGCCACCGTGATGACGATGAGAGAGACACGCAAACTCCAAATATACGTTTAGTAGCTACGGGCCCCGCACTTTCAAGGGCCCCGCGCTAAACGTTTTCAAGCTATCAATTCCGTGCTCTTTGGTTCTTTACCAGTCATAGGCAAATCCACTCAGCTCCACGTCCTCTTGTACCACATCACTCCATCTCTTCTCTAGCCCGTTCCACGCTCGTTTAGCCCTCTCTATCC